GATTGGGAGGGGCTGCCTGGGAAAGGATTTTGAAGTCACATGCAGGCTCAGCAAGCAAGTGCCTGATCCAGTAGTGTCGTCCTCCAAGAGCAAGAGGTGGGAGGGAGGGGGTTCCACACATGCCACATATTTGCCCACCCTTCACCCTGGGGGAACAAATAACATTTAAAGAGCCCAGGTGACTTAAATATTCCTTAACTCTGCATGTTAAGTAGCAGCAGCTCTGGGTGCCTGGGTGGCTCAGATGGTTAAGCATCTGCCTTCGGCTCAGGTCATGATCCCAGGGTCCCGGGATCGAGCCCCACATCAGGCTCCTTGCTCAGCGGGAAGCCTGCTTCTCCCTCTCCCTCCACTTGCCGATCCCCCTGCTTGCGCTCTCTCTCTGTAAAATAAATAAAATCTTTAAAATCTTTTAAGAAAAAAAAAGAAGTAGCAACTGAGAGAAGTTGGGAGAAGAAGGTGTTTCTGTCCAGTTCCACTGTGACTGAGTGGGCAAGGAGAACACTGAGGCTGGACGGGCCAGATGGGTTGGGGGCTCCCTCCTCAGCTCCTCAAATCAGAAGCCATGCCTTGGGACTCAGAGCCCTGCTGCCCCCTTCGCAAAGCGAAATGACTCATGGGACAGCGTCTCCATCTACCAAGACTTCCTTCCCTTCAGCCCACTCCCCACAAACCCCAACCTCCCCCACCAAGGTATGTGCCCCAGCCTAGAGGGCAGGACAGACAAAATGCTCTCTCAGAAAAAGTGAGCGACTTGCTCACCCAGTGCACTGGAGAGTTTGAACGGCATGGCTGGCAGGGCAAATGAGGCAACGGAACATCCCCTTTCCTGACCTTTGACCTTGCCTGCCACAGGAAGTGGGGGTCTCTTTCCACCACTTTTCTGTCTCCAGCGTTCAAGGGATGCCCCGCCCAAATGCAGCACCCCCAAATCCTGAGCATCTTGGCCCGGAAGGGGCAGAAACACCCGAAATCCCTGGTTGGAAACCTAGCTGACATGGGTGACCCTGGGCAACTCATCCTGTGGGAGTCTGTTTTCTTGTCTGTTAAATGGGGATACACGACCTACTGCATTGGAATTTTGTATGAAAATGTGTGTAAAATATCTGGTACAATGGAAAGTTTCTTTGCCCCCTTGTCACATCCCCTCAACGGGCTCCAAGAAGAACTAGAGCCCCCCCCCCCCACAAGCCCAGCTCCTCTCCAGGGGAAGGAATCCCCTCCCCCACCCTCCAAGCCGGGCTGGGGGCTGTGACCAGGTCTGGCTTCACCAGGGGGCGCTCCCTCCCCAGCAGGCGTGCCCTCACCGCCCAGTCCTATCGAGAGGGAGCACCAGCTCGCCCAGGGGAAAAAGTCATGGAATTATGAGAGACACATCCCAATCACTGAAACCTTTTTAAAATTGTTTAATACGATTTAAAAATTATGTCTGAGAATTGAGGAAATCTGATAGTTTTTAAAAACTCTTGAAATAAAAAGGGGAAACAAAGTTTTGAAGGAAAAGCCACGAGCAGCGCAGAGCTCCTCCCTTGCCCACGTCAGAGGCTCCCACGGCTAGCTCCGCCATCGGGGCCTGCCACCCTCTGGTCCCGGCCACCCGGTGCCGGCCTGCCCCCATCCCGGAATCCCAGAACCACTTCTGTCTCTGCAGTCCGTCCCCGCGAGGCAGCCAGAGGGAGCTTCTCAAGACAAACCTGAGAGTGCTTTGCACCTTTTATTAAAATGCCCTCAGGGTTCCCAAGAGAAAAAAGCCCCGTGTGACTGGCCCCTCAGTGTCTGTCCCCACGGCTCCTTCCTCCTCTGTTCACAACCCTCAGCCACACTGGCCTCCAAAAATGCAGATTCATTCCCACCTGGGGCCTTCTTCCCTGGCCGTCCTCTCTGCTGGTGGGGAAATAGGCCACAAAGGCCAGACACCACTGTTCAGTAGGAAAGCCCCCAGTGACCCTGGTCCAGGCATCTACCCTCCCTGGGCCCCAGGCTGCCCCCTCCTGTGCTGGACTTGTGCGGGGTGTGGTGCATGTCCGGGGTGCGGGTAACACCCCGCTCCCCAAGCACAGGACACAGATGGTGCTGTGCCCACAACGAGCTCAGCCCGCAGAACACCCCACCCTGGTCAGGCCTCCGGAACAATGAGACCCCTAGCCCAGCTCCCAAACCCTCCTCACTGCCCCATACCCAGGCCTTTGCCCCTGTGGTTGCCCTTCACTGACACTACCACCAGCCGATCCAAGACCTGCCCACCCTTCCCGACCCCGCTCAGGATCCATGCAGCATAGAATCCTAAAAGAAGCCCAGATACCAGAACCAGGTGGAACCTCAAGGCTCCCGGTCCTCTGCCCCTTCCAAGCAGCCACCTGGGGCTCACAGACAGGGTCTGCAGTCTCCCACTGGGGAGGGACAATCCACAGTCCATCCAGGGCTGGCAAATAGAGAACATAGAAACCCAGAGGGAAAACCAGGGTGAGGTCAATCTCAGAGGACCTCCTGGGGCAGGGAGACTTAGTGCTCATAGTTACAGGTATTTAGTGGACAAATAGTTATCCAGTACCTGCTATGTGCCAAATACTATGCCAGGCATGGGAACTGTGAACAAGATAGACATGGTCCTGCCCTCAGAGGGTGGGGGGAGGGGCACAGTGGGAACTAGACACAGAAATACTGTGGTGAGAATAAAGCAGAGCAGGGGTAGAGCATGCCCGGGTATCAGGCACCTGAAGTTATTTGGGGAGTGCATGAAGCCGAGGCCGTTTGATCTAACAGAAGCCGTTCTCAGGCAGAGCAGACAGCAAACACAAAGGTCCTGGCTGGCTCTGGGCTAAAGGCCCCCTCCTCCAGGAAGCCACTTCAGATGGCTTCTCCTGATCCACACTGCAGCTGCACTCTGTCCCACGAGCTCCGCCTACCTCCCCCTGGGGGCCCGATGCTTGTGCTAAGATCATCTGTTGGATAAACCAGGGAGAAGATGCATCCACACTACAGAGGAGTGGTCTGTGTCCCCAGTAGGCAATGGCTGGGTGTTCTTCATTTGGCATCCCCAGTGCCCAGGGCAGTGCCGGGCATATAGCAGGTGCTCAGTAAGTGTTGAACAAGTGTGAAATAGGGAAGTGATGCCAGAAAACAAGGTCAATGATGTCTTTTCTCTGAGGACAAGGCTGTCCCCCCCACTCCCCTCCGTGCCCTCGTGCCCCATCTCCTGGTGGAAGGACACCCACCCTCAGTCGGCCTGTGGGGCCATGACTCCTCAGCCCAGCTGGGCCCAGGAAAAGTTTTCTGTTCCACTGGAGATTAATGTCTGTTCCTTTGTTGGATTGTCAGCGGTGCGTGGTTAGGGGGCAAACCAGAGCCATGTGCCCTCCAAGAGCGGCTTGGCAGTGGTCCTCCATCTTGGAGAAGGCAACCCAGCGAGGGGCTGGATGCAGCCGTGGGTGTGAGGTACGAGGAGCGAATGAGTGTGCAAGAACTGAGGGTTCTTACGTGTGCATATGAGGTCTGCACACATGTGTGCAAAGGCAGGAAAACATCTAGAGGAAAATGCACCAAAGTGATCTCTGGGAGATGGGATCCAGATGGGTTTTATTGGCTTTTATGCTTTTCAGTATTTTCTTGAGTTTTCTACACTCAGCGTGTGCTACTTTTAGACTCAGAAAAGAGCTAAATAAATATAAGTAGCTTTTTCAAGGCCATTGATGCAGAAGGCAGAGAGCAGGCAGGGAAGAGGCTGGTGAAGCCGGGCCTGAGGTGAGGAGGGGCGCTCTGGGGCTCAGGGAGCACAGGCGACCACAAGACGGACACTGGGCCACCAACCCAGCTTCCTCACTCACCAACTCCAGTGTGACACTGACCTCCAGTCCCCTGTCTGGGTTCTAAGCTCCTTCTGACCCTGATGCTCCAGAATGATCTGTCCCCTATCCCATCCAGGGCTCAGGCCAGGAGGGGCTGGGTGTGAGCAGCAGGAGACACACATCACTGTAGGTGGTGCTTCTGGGCCTGGGATTCGGCATCAGGGGAGCCTGCCCACTGGAGGGGCCATCAGCAAGCTCCCCTGGCTGGAGACAAATGCTCACGGTTAGCTGCTGCCCGGGTAGGAGGTGAGACTCCAACGGTAATTTTCTTCAGTGCCTGCAGCGTACCTACACCGAAACGTGGGCAGAGGCAGTAAAATGCTGCTGTAGTGGGGCTGGGTCCTACTGGGGGGAGGGTTCACCGAATGGCAGAGTCAGGTGGAAGGTTGACCAGAGGTTGACCTGTCCTGACCCCTAGTGTCCAGCCAGATGGCCCCTAAGTCAGGATCTCAGCTCCTAAAGGACCCTGAATCTCCCTCCAGGCAAGGGCCTGCAGAGGCCTTTAAGAAAATCCCCTGAGGCCTGGTAATCACCACATCCCATCCCCTCCTCTGCCCACCCCTCCCCCATGGCCTTCCCCCCACCTCCTGGCAGAGGCCTTGGTCCTGCCACTGCTTTTACCACCGCCCTACCCACCCTGAGTTCTCCACCCAAGACGCTGCCCAGAGCAGCACACAGTGGAAGGATCAAGGGCTTTGGCTCAGAAAAACCTGGGTCCAAAGCGACAGGGCCAGGCCGAGGTGCCCTCCACCACGTTTCGGGGCCTCCCTCGCAGGAGGGGCAGAACAATTTGTAAATGCAGAGTTCCCTGTGGCTAGTGTCTGATGGCAGAGGAGGACAGACACACAGCAGGGCAGGAGACACAGCCACCACCACCACCTCCAGATGGCTGCTGGGCCTCACTCTAGCCATGAGGCTGAACCAAGTTCCAGAAGCAAACAGCTCACCCCAGCGGCGTGACCCACCAGCCACATCACCACGGAGCCTTCGAGGTCCCAGCCCTACGCTTCACCTGCCGGACGGCTGCACCAGGTGTCCTGGGGGAGGGGACTCTCCCCTGCATCCAGCCAGGGCCTGGTCGGGGGGAACGTGGCCCAATGTCAGACACAGCCTGGTGTCTAAGGTTGCAAGGGACACACAACCCAACCTCCTGGCCTATGGGACTCCAATATGTGCAAATATTTATTTTCTTCTCCAGGACTCTGGGGAAGAAGGAGGTCAATAGAAGGTCTCTATCTTCTGGGTCTAGCAGGGGTAATAAGCCAGGGACAGACAGGAGGCCCGTGGGCCTGGGCCTTGCGCTGGAGGACTGGAGAGAGGGTGGGCCACCTTAGAACCGGATGCGGTTAGCTCTTCTTCGTGGAGGACCGAAAGGTGGCCTTCAGAGGTCTTGAGAGCAGTTCGACGGATGAGGCAGCAGGCATGGGGGTCGCCCACCTCTGCACGATGTACTTGGGTGCCTGGGACAGGACCGAGGGGGAGGCCCGGAGGTATGGGGAGCTGGACAAGGCAGACTCCAGGAACCCGGAGTCTGAGGCTGTCAGGGTGAGGGTGTCGCTGACGGGGAGGGAGGTGGCTGACGAGCTGGTGTCCCTATCAGGATCTGGGTCCTTGTGGCTATGGTGGGCTGCCAGGTGGCTGTGCGGGCCCTGCTGCTCTAGAACGTTGTGCAGCACGAGGTCAGGTGTGTGGGTGGGTGACAGTCTGTTGAAGTGCAGGCTTTGGTAGATCTGAGGTGAAATCTGGGGGAGAAACAGAGCAGGGGAGTTTGGGTGTTTCACCCAGGACCAAGAGCAGACTCACAGGAAGCATGGGCCCTGGGGTCTTCCCAGACAAAAGAAGTCTCCAGAAGTTTCCAGAGGTTTTTCCTCTCCCCAGCCTGCTGGCACTGCAAGCTCACTGTGTGCCAGGCCTGGCACCTAGCCCTTCTCCTGGTGCTGGCAACAACACTTTGTGCTCAGCGCGGGACTGTCTTCATCTTTAGAATGACGCCTCAAGCAGGACCCGAGTGGGGCCCCCACCTCTCTTGTCGGCACTCAGCAGGCTGCACTTTGAGGCCCATCTCTAGAAGGCGGGAATGCTGAGCAGCTCCCCTTTCTCACTGACCTCTCCCCGCCCAGGACAGAGGGGTTCTCTCGCTTCAAGTGCCCACCAGCGAGGGAGGAAGCTCTAATGGCAGACGCCTCTGGAGGAGGCTGGAGTGTGCCCAGGCAAGAGGCAGGATGGGACTCATAGCTGTCCTGCAAAATCCCCGGCTCCCCTTTTCTTTTCCCAAGGAGAGTGCCCTTCCATTCCCTCCATCCCTTACACGGCACCAGGAGACCCTGTGTCTGCTCTGGAGTGGCCCACGGTACAGAGGCAGACAACCAAACGCAGAGCCACAGACTCTGGGAATTTCTTTGAAGTCTATCAAAAGTACCAGGCCTATGGAGAACCTCCTCCCATAGGCCCAATGAGGTGTGTCCCCAGAGACAACACCTGTGTCCATGGCCTCAACCAGGGCCTCGGCAAAAACACCAGCCAGACCAGCTTCATCCCAGAGCTGCCTGTGGCCCAGCATTCTGTTAAGGGATTGACGCTCCCCTATCTCCGACTGGAGGGCCCTGTGGGCACAAGGGTGGCTGTGGATGGGCTGTCAATGGAGAGGGGCTCCCCAGCCTCCCGCACCAGCATCTCAGGGAGCAAGCCCCGCCCTGCCTCACCTGGTACTTCATCCAGTCATACTGCACGTGGGTGGACAGGAGTCGGGAACTCCGCGACCGGTCCTTGGGCTTGTACGCTGCTCCCACAACTTTGCTCATCTGCGGGCACCATGGGCGAGAGTGAAGCCTCGGGGCTGACCGGGGTGGGCCCCTCTCTGCCCCTGGGTCCCCCACGCAGCCTCACCTGCTTGCCCTTGGACTCCCACTTGCACCAGCTACACTCAATGTCTTCCGGGGAGCGCTCCCCAGCCCATGGGGACGTCTGGGTGATCTTCTGCAGCTTAGCCCACGCCTCAGCCTCCGCGTCTGCCTTCCCATTCAGGAGAGCCATGAGCACCACCTGCTCCCGCCGCTGGTACACCAGGGCCTCGGCCAGAGCCCGCTGCTCCCTGATGTAAGGGGCTTTCCTTCATAAGATGCCCTCACACCACAAGGCGGGGCAGCCTTCCCACGGACCCCAAGAGGGCTTCTCCCTCCTGGGCCCAATCCTCTCCCAAAATTCTCATCCCTCCCCTGAGGCCCTACTGCCTGGGGCCCATCATTAAACAAGTGTCCAGGGAATGTTAGCAAAGCCCAGATTAAACTGACCCCCGACAAGTCCTGAAACCTATCCTACCACCCTGTACTCTCCCCCCCCATGGAGGCCCGACACCCCATCTTGGCCTTACCGGGGCCTCCCCTTGTGAAATATTTAAACATTCTCTCCCTCCCAGGGAAACCCTGCCCCTGCCTTGTTTGCGAACCCCACACGGGACTGTAGAGATGTATGCCTTGACAAGAGGAGAGGAGCCCCAAGGACTGTACGGGTGCCTGGAAAACTCTTACTTACACATCAAGACCCAACTCCAAAAAATCTCTTCTCCTATGAAGCTTTTTTTACTTGATCCACCCAATGAGGTGACTGTCCTCTGAGCCATTCCTGTTCTTAACAGTCCCATCGCTTACCATATAAAACAGCAGCCATGAGTTTGCATGTCCATTTCCCCAGGGGGACTGTAAGTTCTCTGGGGGAGGACCTGTGTCTGGATTGTTTGTGATCTCTAGAACCTGGCACAGAGTCTGGCACTCAGCAGGACCTCAATAAATATTTCTTGGAATGACCCCAAATTCTCTGAGACTTGGTCAGGAGTAAGAGTGGGACATGGGTGGAGGAGGAACCTGGAAAGGAAAGAAGCTGCAAGCAGCAGCCTGACTTCCCCATGAATCAGGGAAATAACACAAGCATCTGGTCAGGACCAGAGCCCTGGGCACTCGCCTACCAGGGACCTCTAGCCACATAGAAATGGCCTCGGCAGGGAAGCCAGCCCTGGCTAATCTGGACCCGGCTCTGGAGCCAGGGCCCATCGAAGGGCTTGCCTTTTTGTATTTTCTGCTGGTTTGTACCATTCAAACTTGCAGCTGAGCCGGGCTCGTAGGCCGCAGTTGCCACTGGTATAAGTCAAGTTTCCTGTAGGTCCCAAGCCTCTGGCTTTCTGAGGGCCCTCCCCAAAGATGCCTAGCTCTACCCAACCCAGATGAGGCTGCCCAGGACCTGCAGGGAGGCTCCGGCACCCCCCTCCTTGGGCCAGCAAAGACCAAGTGGGCTGGGATAACTCACCGCAGCTCTGGACGGAAGGCCTTCTGGGCAGCATCTGTAGAGTCAGCCTCCTCCTCTGAGCTTTTTCCCACTTTAAGATCACCAACAATCTGAATATCCTGCAACCTTTTCCAAACACTCAGGCCAAATGTCCCTGTGATTTAACCAGACCCAGCTCAGTAACAAGAACTGGTCTACCTCCCCTCTGATCCTTCTGCCCTTCACCCTCCACCCTCAAGGGTCAGCCAGAAACCCCTTACCCTTGGCCTGCACCTCATGATGCTTACCACATGCCAGGCATTATGCTGGCTACTCAACAAATACCTGAAGGAACCAGACACTAGCCCTAGAATATACTTGGAGCACAGGCCAAAGCATCCTGCCCCCCATATAGGCTGAGATGGAAAGCGCACTATGGTGATGACAGTGATCCTCGGTTGGGCTTACGTGGCTCATGTATAAAGTAGCAATGGTGCAAAATGATCAGGCATCCATCAGATGTGAGGTTGGGGAAGAACAGGGCTGGAGGAGAAAGCAGGTAGTGAGAATAGAGAAACATGAGTCCTGCTCTGGGCAGGGCATAGCTATAGTAGGCCATTCTCCTGCTGCAGAATTTTTAAAGATTAAAAAAATATAGTAAAAAAATCCTATTTTAAAAAGTCATCGGAGAGCTATAGAAGCGAAAAAGAGTAGATGAACTAAAATTACAGAAAGGGAAGAGTCCTTCCAAGAAGAACTGAAACTGAGGGCTGCTTCCTTCTCTGGGAGCATTTTCTGAGTCTGGGCATGGGCTGAGTAAGAATCAGGCTCTGCTTAGACAAAGGAAGCTACTGGAAGGAAAAGAAACCATCCAAGCTTCTGAGAGCCATTCTGGCTGGCAGGATGGATCAAATCTAGTGGAGTTCACATGCATCGCTGTGTTTCCTGCAGGACATTCGCTGAGCACTGGGGGCTCTGGAGGCCTGGAAGTTGGGCTACACAGATAGAATGAGGTTGTTGGGAGACAAAGTCCCACTAGAGGAAGAAGCCTTTAGCAAACACAACAAACTTCACCCTTGAGACAGACTTCACAATGGAAGACAGAAGAAAACTGAGTCCACCAAAATTGGCAGTCCAGACCCAACCCAGCTCAGTTTCTGACTGCAGTGAGATGAGCAGCCCTATACAGAGGAACGAGCACATGCACTGGAGGAAAATCATGCCAATGTCATTCTCTGTGGTTCTTTTATACAAAGTCCAGAAAAGTCTCTGGTTTCATTTTGGATTTGGTTTTAGTTTTGGTGGTGGTGAGGGGGTTGTTTTTGTTTTGGGGGGGTTTTGGAGGGGTGGATTTTTTTATGCATATAACATGTAAAAAGACAGGAAAGTATAACCAATAATGAAAAAAAAAAAGAAATAGGCATTAGAATCATACCCACAGATAATTCTGACATTGGAGCTATGAGATAAAACTTTAAAATAACGATTATAAATAGTTAAATAAAATAACAGAAAATATGAACAAAGTGAAGGAGAAGAAGAATTTCAACAATGAATTGGATTCTATAGGAAAGAACCAAATGGGTATTTGAGGAAAAAAAAATACAAAATTAAGAATTAACTGAATGCGGGGCACCTGGGTGGCTCAGTTGTTAAGCGTCTGCCTTTGGCTGAGATCAAGCCCTGCATCGGGCTCACTGCTCAGCAGGAAACCTGCTTCTCCTTCTCCTACTCCCCCTGCTTGTGTTCCTGCTCTCACTATCTCTCTCTGTTATATAAATAAATAAAATCTTTTTTAAAAAAAGAATTAACTGAATGGATTTAATAGCAGGCTGCATACAGAAGAAGACGGGATTAATGAATTGGAAGGCAGGTCAGCAGAAAATAACCAAACGGAATGCAGAGATTGAAAAAAAAAACACAAAAAAACAAACAGAGAACAGAACAGAATAGGAGAGATATATGGGAAAGAGTCAAATGTTCTAACATACATGTAACTGAAACCCCACGATGGGAGGAGAGGAAGGATGGGCAAAAGCAGTACTAAAGAATAATCTTTGACAATTTTTTTAAACTGATGAAAAATAGCAGCCCACAGGTTGAAAAAGATCAGTGAACTCTGAGCAGGATGAACACAAATAAAACCACACTTAGGCACATCATAGTCAAACTGCTGAAAACCAAAAACAGAGAAAAAAGAAAAATTACCATCAAAATATCAATTTATGGGGTATCTGGGTGGTTCAGTCAGTTAAGCAACAGATTCTTGATTTCAGCTCTGGTCATGATCTCAGGGTCATGAGATCGAGCCCCATGTTGGAGTCTGCCTAAGCGGATTCTTCTTAAGATTCTCTCCCTCTCCCTCTGCCCCGCCCCACCCCACCCCACTCACATACTCTCTCTCAAAAAAAAAAAAAATAAAGTATCAACTTAAAACTAACATTTCAAAAGAAAATATAGAAGCCAGAGATGATGGAAAAATCTTTTTTTTTAAGTACTGAAAGAAAATAAACTTCCAACTGAGAATTCTATGCCCAGTAAAATAGTCTTAACATTTTAAGGCAAAATAAAGATGTTTTCAGATAAATAAAAGCTTAAAGAATTAAACACTAGCACAGATGCTCGGGTAGCTCAGTCGGTTAAGCTACTGACTCTTTTCTTCTTTTTAAGATTTTATTTATTTATTTGAGAGAGAGAGAGCGTGAGCAAGGGAAGGAGCAGTGGGAAGAAGAAAGTAAGATTCTTTTTTTTTTTTAAAGATTTTATTTATTTATTCATGAGCGAGAGAGAGGCAGAGGGAGAAGCAGGCTCCCAAGGAGCAGAGAGCCTGATGCGGGACTCGATCCCAGGACTCTGGGATCATGACCTGAGCCGAAGGCAGACGCTCAACTATCTGAGCCACCCAGGCGCCCAAAAGTAAGATTCTTGCACAAGCAGTGGTATCAGGTCAAGAGTGCATATTATAATCTCTAGAGTAACCACTAACGAATATTATAAAAACATACAATTGAAAACCTAATAAAGAAATAAAACAAGGTAATTGTTTTAAAGACGTGATTAATCCAAAAGAAGGCAGAAAACGAAGAATAAAGGAACAAAGAGCAGAAAACAAATATCAAGATGATAGACTTAAACCATATAAGTAATTTCATTAATACCTGAATAGACTAAATATCCAATTAAAAGGCAAAGATTGTCGGGCAGGATGAAGAAAATAGGACTCAATATAATGCTCCACAAAAGAAGCACATTTAAATATAAGGACGGAGATAGATTGAAAAGCCATGTTGGCAAAAGGGTACAAACTTTCAGTTAGAAGATGAATAAGTTCGGGAATCCAATGCACAGCATGGTGACTGCAGTTAACAACACTGTATTGAATACTCGAAATTTGCTAAGAGAGTAGATATTAAGTGTTCTCACCACCAAAAGAAAAAAAAATAGTAACTATGTGAGGTAATAGATGTATTAATTATCTTGATTGTGGTAATCATTTCACAATGTACCCATATACCAAATCATCATGTCATAACTTAAAATGTCAACTTATTCAGTCTTTTTTTCAGTTTCCATTACTATGTCTTCATAGTCACTAATCTTTTCTTCTGTAGTATCTAATCTGCTATTCACCCTATCCAATGTATTTTTATCTCAGACATTGTTGTTTTTATTTTTTTTAAAGATTTATTTTTTTTTTTTGAGAGAGCAAGAATGAGAGAGAGAGAGAGTACATGACAGGGGGGCGGGTCAGAGGGAGAAGCAGGCTCCTCGCTGAGCAGGGAGCCCGATGCGGGGCTCGATCCAGGGACTCCAGGATCGTGACCTGAGCCGAAGGCAGTCGCTTAACCAAATGAGCCACCCAGGCGCCCCCAGACATTGCTGTTTTCAATTTCTAATTTCAATTTGGGTCTTTTTATATATATTTAAGTTCTCTCTTTAACAGGCTGATGTTTTCTTCTACCTTTTGTGACACATGAAGTATATTCATAATATTTATATACATTATATAGTATATGTCTATATTGTATTATATATAATTTATAATATTACAAATGCACTGTATATATTATATATAATTTATACTAATTTTGTATTATATTATTTTATGTATAATATATTATTATAAATTATACCTCAGGAATTACTATTCTTTGCTGCCTGCTGTCTAATGTCTGGAAACTGTTATATATATTTTGTTCATGCTTTTAGTCTTTTAAAGTGGTAATGTAAATCCGGTCCTTGTTACTGTGTCACGTTTGGAACCAACAGAAATGATAGGCAATAGAAATAGACCCAGAAGTGAACCAGATACTGGATTATCAAAGACTTTAAAATAACTTTGATCAAAATGTTCAAGAATACAAAGTAGAAGATGAGGAATTTCATCATAGAGAGAAAGAAATTAAAAATAGTCAGAAAGTTTTTACCCATATAAGAGCTGAAATGCAAGGAAATCTAAGTGAACTAATTCAGAAAGGAATAAGCCTTTGATAAGAGACAAGAGACCAAGGCTGCTTTCAACCCTGACAGAGTAATGAGAGGAGGATGAACCCTCTGTGGAGGAGGAGAAATCAGACGAGTCCTTAGTGAACTTTTAACAGCCTCACATGACATGACAGATTATAACCCAGGATGTTCCAGCCACAGGGCAAGTCTGCAGCTACCCACCAACCCTTTCCCTCAGGCCTTCACAGGGTTTATGGTGGCCATACAATGAAGGCTGGGGGCCAGGCAGAAGAGTTCAGAGATAGACCATGAAAATACTAAGTGTAAGAAAGCGTAAGATGCTTTTTATGTGATGGCTATATGGGTGTGTATTTACTTTCTGAAAATTCACAAGCTGAACCCTTTTGGTTTGTGTGCTTTTCTTTATGTATGTTATAACTCAACAAGTTTGTTTTTAAAAAGAGAAAGGAATGTGCCTTCTCAGATATATGATTTGCAAAAATATACACAGGCAAATAATTTCGGGTGGGCGGGTGAGTGGGTGGATGGACAGTTGATGGATGACTGAATAGACTGCTGAACGGACAACTGGAAAGACTCACATCCTGTGATACTATTTGAGCAGAGACAGCTTCTGTGGCCTGAAACCCAACCCCACAGGATATAAGGTTTATGCCAGCTTAGGTTCTAACAGGGACAGGACCATGATGGGCCATGTGGCATGGCTGACCTTCAGCAGGACCCATACCAATGGTGTCACCGGAGAGTTTCCAAGCCTTGACGTCACAGTCCTGGCCAGCACTGACAACCAGCTGGAAGCTATCCACATACAGGATGTCTGCCACACTATCCAAATGGCCCTTCCAGGAATTCAGAAGCTTGGGGGGAACCAGGGAAATGGTCTGGCCAGCCACGACCTATAAGGGACAGTACAGGAGAACTACTTATACTGGAGGCAGTGGAGCCCTCTGTAAGGATCCTAGGTCACAGTCCCCTGGCTCATGTCCCAGGGTTCTAGTTCTAGACATGTTCCCACATTAATTTAGGTAAGTCCTGGCACTTGTCTAGCCTTCACTGGTCCCTTTGGTAAAATCATAAAAAAGCATTTGCATTTGCTATATTGCTTACCAATTGCATCTATACAGATTATTCCATTTGAACATCATAACAACCTTAGAGGATGTGTGAGTCTCACCATTTCACAGAGGAGAGAAGTGAGTCCAAAGCCACATAGCTAGAAAGTGGTGAGGCTAGGACAAGAGCCGGGTCTTCTTCTAAAATTATTCAGCTGGGCACTGGGAATAGAACAGGGTGAGCAAGGGAGTGATAGATCACATTCACTATGAAAGGATGAACTCTACTTAACTGGAAAATGAGTAAAAATAACCAGGACTGTTTTAAATAAAACAATATTGAAAGGGATGAATTTTACCATATTCAAGTATGTTAAGTCACAATATAAAAATTTTAAACAGAACAATGGGAGATGACAGAAAGCTCAGAAACCAACATACATTTACATAAAACATCTGTATGTAATAGTGGCAGGAAAATTTGTGGTAATAGAGAGCATGACCCATAAAAAAGTGCTGGAATACCGGATAAACTATCAAGAGAAACTTCAACCGTTGTTGTGTTTCTTACAACTAAAGAAATGCTAGGGCGCCTGGCTGGCTCAGTTGGCAGAGCATGCAACGCTTGATCTCAGGGTTGGGAGTTTGAGCCCCATGTTGGACATGGAGCCTACTTAGAATAAACATTTTTTAAAAATTTAAAAAAACAACTAAAGAAACACTAAAAGGGTCAAAGAATTCTTTTTAATGAAACTGTAAAACATCTAAAAGAAAATAGGAGTATTTGGCTTACCTCTGAATAAGAAAGTGATTGACAATGGGAAGTACCACAATGGGAAGAAAAATTGGTTTGACCAAAAAAAAAATTATAATTTTAAAATCATCATAAATAAAATTAAAAGGCAAATGACCAATTGGGGGGAAATATTGGTAATACATATGACAGATAATAAGTTAATATTTTTAATATGTTTAAAAAGAATTATACATCACTTACAAAAGATGGTTACAATAGAAGAATGGACAGAGGACATGAAGAGACAATTCACAAAACCATACATGGCCAATAAAATAAGATGTCAACATCACTAATAAGCAAAGATATCTTTATTAAAATCAAAGAAAACCATTTGCATCTAAAAATCAGCCAAAAGTTTTCTTTTCACTTCAAATATTTATTTATTGAACGCCTTCTATAAGCAAGGCACTCTATAGACCCAAGGAAACCTCACTCGGATGAATACCACTAATAATAAATACTTTATGCTGGCAAGGATAAAGGAAAATATTAGAAGTGCAAAACTATAAACTTTGGGAATGCAGTTTGGCAGTACACAGTAAAGGCCTTAGAAAGATTTATGTTGTTTTACATACTATTTCCATGAGATAAATTACCAGATGTGCAGATAAACAACTACAAATAACAACAACAAAAAGATTTGTGAAAAAGAAAAACTGCTCTATCATTTTTATAGCTTTTAAACACAGCTTTATTGAAATATAATTCACATACAATTTACCCATTTAAAGGGCTTGCTTCGGTGGTTTTTAGTATACTCACAGAGTTTGCAACCACCATCATGATCGATTTTAGGTCATTTCAGCATCCCACAGTTGGTGTAAGTGGAATCAGACAGTATGTGGTCCTTTGTGTGACTGGCTTCTTTCACTTAGCATGTTTTCAAGGTACATGGTGCTATGGCGTGTATCAGTACTTGATTACTTTACTTATCCATTCATCCATTGTGGACACGTGGGTTGCTTTCACTTCTTGGCTATTACAACTAATGCTGCTATAAACACCCACATTTAAGATTTTGTGTGGACACGTCTTCATTTCTCTTGGATGTATTGCTGGGTCATATGGTAACTCTATGTTTAACTTTCTGAGAAACTGTTAAACTGTTTTCCAAAGTGGCTGTACCACCTTATGTTCTTACCAGCAATGTTTGAGAGTTCCACTTTACCCACATCTTGGCCAACATTTATTATCTACAGCCATCCTAATGAGTGTGAAGTGGGATCTCGTTACTGTTTTGCTATGAATTTCCCTAATTCCCAATGATGTTCAACATCTTTTCATATATTTATTGGTGATTTGTATATCTTCTTGAAGAAATGTCTATGTAGATCCTTTGCCCATTTTTAATTGGGTTATTTGTCTTTTTACTGTCGATGTGTAAGAATTCTTCAGTCTGGATACTAGTTTCTTATCATATATATGATTTGCAAATATTTTCTTCTATTTGCATGTCACCTTTTCCCTTTTTTAATGGTGTCTTTTGTAGGCTGAAAGTTTTTAAATTTGACAAAATTCAATTTATTTGTTCCTTTTGTTGCTCGTGGTTTTGCATCATATTTAAGAAATATTGCCTAACCCAGAGTCGTGCAGATTTCTCCCTATGCTTTCTTCTAAGAGTCTTATAATTTTAACTCTTCCATTTAGGTCCATGACCATTGAAGTTAATTTTTATGTATGTTGTGAGGTATGTTCTTCTCTATGTTATATGTTCATTCTTCTGATGTGGATATCCAATTTTCCCAGCATCATTTGTTTAAAAAGACTATTCTTTCCTCCATTTGATTGTTTTGGCACCTTTGCCAAAAATCAATTGACCATAAATGTGAGAGTTTATTTTTCCACTCTTAATTCTATTTCATTGACCTATATGTCTACCCTAATGCTGGTACCACACTATTTTCACTATAGCTTCAAAGTAAGTTTTGAAGTTGGGAAGTGTGAGTTTTCCAACTCTGTTCTTTTTCAAGATTTTTGAACTATTCTAGGTCACTTGTATTTCCATATGAATTTCAGAATCAGTTTGTAAAATAAGAAGCCGGGATTGTGATAGATTACACTGAATTAACTTGGCAAATACTGCTATATTAACAAGATTAAATCTTCCAATCCATGAACATGGAATATTTTTCCATTTATTTAGGTTGTCTTCAATTTTTTTCAACAGTGTTTTGAAGTCTTCATAATACAAGTTTTTCACTACTTTTGTAAATTCATCCCTAAATATTTTATTCTTTTTGATGCTACTGTAAGCTGGATGCTTTTTATTTCATTTTCTTGCCTACTTGCCCTGCTGGTAAAACATTAGAGGAAGTGGCAAGAGCAGACATCCTCATCTTGTTCCTCATCTTAGTAGGAAAAGTTTAATCTTTCACCATTTAATATGATAGTAGCTGCTTTTTGCTGATGCATTTTATCAGGTTGAGGAAGTTCCCTTCTACTCCTTCTTGATTGAGCATTTTTATCAGGAAAAGGTGTTGGCTTTTCTCGAATGCTGTTTCTGCATCTATTGAGATGATTATGTGTCTTTTGTTCTTAATTCATGTAATATAGTGTATTACATTAATTGATTTTGGATATTAAACCAACCTTGCATTCTTGGGAAGTCTCACTTGGCCATGATATGTAATCCTTTTCATATGTTGCTGGATTCAATTTGCTAGTATTTTATTGATGATATTTGCATCTATATTCACAAGAGATGTAGTTTTATTTTCTTATGATGTCCTTGTCTGGTTATAGTATCAAGGTAATATTGGCCTCATAGAAAACTATTTGGCAAGAATTCTTGAAGAATTGACATCAATTCTTCTTTAACTATTTAGTAGAATTCACCAGTGAAGTAATCTGTACCTGGGCTTTTCTTTGTGGGAAGTTTTATTGCTAATTCAATCTCTTTACTTGCGATATTCAAATTTTCTATTTCTTTAGATTTTTTTTTTTTTGAGCCCACTCTGGTAGTTCATATCTTTCATATCTTTCTACCTTTATCCTTCAGACATATTTTTCACACATTTGAAACAACATTCACTATTTATTTTTGTGAATGCATACTACCCCTTGACCTAGAAATCCCACTTACAGGAATTTATCCTTCAGACATATTTTTCACACATATGAAACAACATTCACTCTTCCCTTTTGTTTAAGAACAAAAGATTGAAAACAACCTCCATTTCCCTTCAAAGGGCATTATATCATTACTATATCCTATGGCTGACTACACATCTATAAAGAAAAATGTACTCATATGCAAAGATAATACATCTCCAAGATATATTATGGAATAAGAAAAGCAAGGTGAGCACCAGTGTGCATGGCATGCTGCTTTCATGTAAAAATAAGGAGGAGATAACTTTATACGTTTCTCTTTGCATAAATAAATACTGGAAGAATCACCAAAAATCAATAGAAATGACACAAGAAGAACTGGTTTGGCGGGGCAGCGGGCGGAGGACTAAGAGTCCTCACTATAAGCCTTTTCCATTCCCTGAGTTTTTAAATCTTCACTGATGTAAAACATACATATAGAAAAGTGTACATGTCCTAAATGTACCACTGTACAAATTTTTACAAGCCAAACACAACTGCATGGCCAGACCCAGATTAGGAAACACTGTCAGCCCCCAAGCCCCCTCACGACTCCTTCTAGCCACTGCATGCCCCACACAAAGACAGTCACTTCTAATAGGGTACCTTGGTCTTGTCTGTTTCTGTACTTTGTATAGATGGATCTATAAAACTTACCATATATACTCTTTTAGTGTCTGACTTCTTTCACTTACATTGTTCAAATAATTACCCATTTTGTAATAAATAGTTGCAGACCATTCATTTCTAATGCCCCATATTATTCTGTACAGTGTGTACAGTGCAATTTATTTTTCCAGTCTACGCTGATGGGCATTTCAGTTGTCTCATATGCAGAGTTATTACAAATGGTAATTCTATTAATGTTTTTATTCATTATATTTTAGAGCATAGGCTTCTCTTGGGTATAAACCTAGAAGTAGAATTGCTGGATCATAGTGTAGACATATATTCAGTTCTAGCAATTACTGCCAAACAGTTCCCCAAAGTGATTATACCAATCTACATTCCTGCCAGCAATAGAAATTTCAGTTGACCTACACCCTTGCCAACATTTGGTATTGCCTATCTTTTTAGTTTTAGTCATTCTGGCGGATGTGTAGTGGTATCACATTGTGGTTTTAATTTGCATTTTCCTGATAACTAAGGAAAAGGTGCTCAACTTCATCAGTCATTAGGGAAATATCAAGTGATTTTCAAACTATGTAAATATATTACCTACTCAAGAAAATACACAGATATTTTCATTAATTTTTTAAAGATTTTAAGTAATCTCTACATCTAACATTGGGCTCAACTTACAACCCTGAGATCAAGAGTTGCATGCTCTACTGACTAAGCCAGCCAGCTGTCCCAAATATTTTCACTATTTTAAAAAGAATTCATGACTCCAGGGCCCTCATCGCAAAGATTAAAGCCCATGGAAGGGGTGTGTGTGTTCATGTGCAAGTGTATGCATGTGGGTATATTTGGTGTGTAGACTTGGGTTTTACTGGATAATGGTGACTTCTGGCTAACAAAAACTGTCCCACATCAACCAGACTACCTTGAACGAGAAACATGAAAGACTCAGAATCTTGGTAAGAGAACCATGGTCCCAGCTCATGAGTGTGGTTTAAATTCCCCCAGTAATCTTCCTACCTCCTTCTCCTCCAAGGGGATGTAGTGTGGGAGGTTGATCTGGACCCGTTCAGGAATTAAGAACTGGAACTTGTTTGTTCCACTGGGTTGAGATGACCACCTGTCAGTGAATGTGCAGTAATCCTTGATGTCCCAGATCTAGGCACAAAATGTGGGTTAGTGGCCCAGCACCCCTTGACACCAGCACCAACTCACACTGTGGGCCCCTCCCAGACTATTTCTCTTCACTCTGAGGTGTGAGCACTCACAGACACTCAGGGTCAGAAGGGGCCCTCGGGACCTTCTAGGCCAGACCCCTTAGCTGGCATGCAGACAGGGTATGACCAGCACAAGGACAAGACATTCTTGCCTCATGTCTCACCACAAAGCATGAAGTCAGCTCCTGAGACAGGTGATCACAGAGAGATACACAGCTGGGGGTAAGGGAGTGGCAAGAAGAGAAAAATGGAGTAGGGAACCCACTGGGAGAGGCTTCTTGGACGGCCCTTTGGAGCCATGTCCTCACTCATTTCCTGGGCACACCATAGCAGAAGAGGACTTCTACTGCCTACCGTTTTACAAACGAAACCAGTACCCAGAGGGAGTAGGGACTAGGCTAGCGCCACACACAGCAAAGAGGGGCTGCTCAGAGCTTGGCTGCCACCAGCCCCTCCAGCTCAAGCCAGGTCTTCCTCACCTTGATGTATCCTTTACAATCCCCTGTGACAAGGATCAAGTCTTTTTCATCCGTGGCCATGGCACCCACGACCACATCCCCCCGGCTTAGGAAGTCCACAGGGAACTTCCCCAGCAGGCCTCCACCCCCGTGGATGGACCAGGCATAGATGTGGCCATCGATGCAGCTGCTCAGCAGGACGGCTACACGTGGCTGGCGAGGCCTGGTCTGCAGGAAGATGATCTGTGCAAGAGAGGCGGGCCCACTCAGCAGTGCTGTGAGCTGGGATTCACCCTGGCCACGGTCACGTGGTGCTGAGTGGCCTGGGCAAGTCACCACCTCTACCCCGCTCCCCAATTTCCTAGATGCCCAGTGAGAATGGTGACCATCTACCACCCCTCCCACCTAGCTGGTAACGAGGACCATTTTGGTGCACTATGAGCTCCCTGTGCACAGGGGCTTGTGTCATTTTTTGTTCACTATTTTATCCTCAGCAACTACAGTGGTGCCTGATATATGGCATGTGATCAGTGAATGTTGAAGAAGACATACAAGGGTGGCTCACTTGGTTAAGTGGCCTCTCGTGATTTCAGCTCAGGTCATGATCTCAGGGTCATGAGATTGAGCCCCGCATCAGGCTCTGCGCTCAGCGGGGAGTCTGCTTGAGATCTCTCCCTCTGCCCCATTCCTGCTGTCAGAAATTACAGCGTGGTTTGGGGCGCCCGGGTGGTACAGCTGGCTAAGCATCCAACTTGGTTTCAGCTCAGGTCGTGATCTCAGGGTCGTGATCTCAATGTTGTGAGATTGAGCCCCGCATTGGACTCCGTGCTCAGCACAGAGTCTGCTTAAGATTCTCTCTGTTCCTCCCCCTGCTCTCTCTCTCTAAAAGAAAGAAAGAGAGAGAGGAAGGAAGGAAGGATGGAAGGAAAGAAAGAAAGAAAGAAAAATTACAGTGTGGTGACTTGTGTGTCCCCAAAACATGTCGCCACCACCAAAAACTCTTGATTAACCCCATTATCATACAAGTCCAAAACAAAATGCTTAACTTACTTCCTGATGGCCCAGGGGCCAGGGTCACAAAACCAGGAGTCCCTAAACCAAAAACAAAGGGCAAGCATTTCCCCCACTTTATGCAAGTATACTTGCACACAATGCAAAATGTGGACGGCACAGACAGATGAGAAGAAATTAAAATCACCCACAGAATTCCAATACCCAGAAATAATCACCATGAAGATCTTAATGCATTGTCTATAAAGACTTTTATCACATTTTTTAAGTTATGAAATATACATGCAAGAATAGACAAAAATACCAATGAAAGAAGAGACATCCCAGAAATAGAAGATTCTAATACTATATAAGAATGATAGAATCTCTGGTGCCTGGGTGGCTCAGTTGGTTGGGCGACTGCCTTCGGCTCAGGTCACGATCCTGGAGTCTCAGGATCGAGTCCCGCATCGGGCTCCCTGCTCAGCAGGGAGTCTGCTTCTCCCTCTCTCTTCCCTCTTGTGCTCTCTCTCTCTCTATCTCATTCTCTCTCTCAAATAAATAAATAAAATCTTTAAAAAAAAAAGAATGATAGAATCTCAAGCCAGTGGAGAAAAGATAAACTATGCAATAAATGGCATTTGAACAACTGGTTATCAATTTAGAAAAATATTTTTAGATTCATACATCGCACCACACACAAAACTACTCAGATCAGACAGAAGGATGACTAAATATATATACAATTATAAATGACTAGAAAAAAACATAACAAATTTTTCTGTGATCTTGGGATAAACAATGCCTTTCTTCATTGTCGCAAAGAAAAATAATAAAGATAGCTAGACAAAAACTAAAATGTCAATGCAATATCACAAAGGCAGATGAGGTGAAACTATCTGCAAATACACAATAGGCAAAGGATTCACTTCCAAAGCATCTAAGGAGCTCCAAGAAATTAATGTGAAAAAGAACGGACAAAGGATATGAATGGATGTTTAATTCACTGAAGAAATACAAATGTCTAGGGGCACCTGGGTGGCTTAGTCAGTTAAGCGTCCGACTCTTGATTTCGGCTCAGGTCGTGATCTTACAGTTGTGGGATCAAGCACCACATTGGGCCCTGCGCTGGGCATGGAGTCTACTTAAAATTCTCTCTCTCCCTCTCCTTATAACCCTCCTCCCCATTTGCACACACCCTCTATCTCTCAAAGAAAGAAAGAGAGAGAGAGAGAGAGAAAGGGGCACCGGGGCGGCTCAGTTGGTTAAGTGTCTGCCTTCAGCTCAGGTCATGATCTCAGGGTCCTGGGATCAAGCCCCACATCCGGCTCCCTGCTCCGGGGGAAACTGCTTCTCCCTCTCCCTCTGCTGCTTCCCTGCTTGTGTGCTCTCTCTCTCTCTCTCTCCCTCTCTGTCAAATAAATAAAAAAAATCTTGAAAGAAAGAAAGAAAGAAAGAAAGAAAGGAAAAGAAAGAAAGAAAGAAAGAAAGAAAGAAAGAAAGAAAGAAAGAAAGAAAGAAAGAAAGAAAGGTAAATGTCTAACAAACATATAGAAAGCTCAGTATTACAAATAAAGAAATATTTTTTTAAAAAAACTTCCACCTACCAGACTGGCAGAAATTAAGAAAAGGCTAATATCCATTATTGGCTTAGTATAAGGACAAAGGTAGACTCACACACTGTTGGAGGGAAGGCAGCTCATCACAGTCTTCTTGGAGAACAAACTGGCTTCATCCATCAAAATGTAAATTGTGCTCACTTGGTGACCCATTAATCCCACTTCTAGAAAATCTAGTTTAACTACACAGAAGTATCTATAAGGATCTCAGCCGCACCATTGTTTATAATAGCAAAAAACTAGGAACAAGTTAAATGTCTATCAATTGGGCATTCATTAAATAAATTATGGCAAATCCAAAGAAATATATTGCAGTCGGGGACAGATTTGCCAGAGAAGTTCATAAAGCTTAAGGCAAAGTTCAAGATCAAGTTCAAGGCCCTTCCAAGGGAGGAATTAGCAACATGTGGTGACTGTTATAATTGTCAGTTGTAAATTTTAAAATTGTCATTTCTTTTGATTCTAAATAAATTTCATTTTATATCTAGTTTTTTATTCATAATTTTGTGTTATTTTTCATAAAGGGTGCCTACCAAATTGTATAAGTTTTAGGCTCAAAAAAGCATAGATTGGCCCTCTGTATGAAGCTATTAACAAGAATGGAGTAGATATATTTATATGTACTGAGAGGAAAAGCTGTCTACTCTACATTGCTAGGTTTAAAAAAAAAAAAAAGCAAACAGCTGAACTACAGTCTCAAATGCTCCTGGTCTTGTTTAAAAACCAAAACCATACCTCTGTATATATATCGCATACAGGCATATAAAAATAAATCTCAAAGAGATATTATTTATCATTTTTAAAGACAATTTTGTCACAAGCATACTCCAGATCATTAAGTATTATCTTAAAATGTGATTCCTCATACCTGCACAGGATTCACCAAAATGATGTGCCACAAAGATCTCCCATTTCTTAACTGGGGAAAGCTGAGGCTTCCTTCCCAACCCTTCCTGCAACAGTTCGAATGGGCAGGCTGAAGGGGCGTGATGGCCAGAGAGGGGTCAGGGCTGTGTGGTCAATGTCAGGAGTGGGCACAGAAGGATGCCCGCCCTGGGCAGGATGGAGAAGGATCCATGTGGTTGGAAGGCAGGGAAGCAACACTATTAGTTTCGCACTCTGCACCTGGCCCCTGAGACCTCAAAGATAGTCCCCTGCCTGCTTTGGAAAGAGCTTCTGGACTGAGGTTGGACATTCCAGACTCACTCACCCCAGTGGTCCCAGACAGTTCTCAACAGCAGGGGGGACTAACGGTCTGCCTGGGACCCCTTCAAAAGAAGCTGAAGCTACACATGGACTGGGCTTCATGCCTTTTGGAGGGTTTTGCCACTCCCCACCCATCTCGTCCTTCACCACTAAGGAGAGGGTCAAGGACAGGGGCTTCATCTCTAGACTGTAATAGACACAGCTGCCCCTGGATCTGTGTCCTTGTCTCCCTCCAAGTGCCCTTTCTGCCCTCCCCCATGGTCTTCTGAGATGGCCGGACAGAAATGGTTGGCGAAGGGGACCTGGCAGGTAAAACTCCCCCAGGCGTCCTTGTCCCAGTCCACTAGGGAAAGGCTGGGAACCAAGGGGGACCCTCTCCAGGGCACCACACCGAGAAGTTCCACTCTGTCTGCTGCCCAGTTCCCCAGAGGGAAAGGACTTGGCTGCTTCAGAAACAGTGGGGGTAGAAGACAGCACTTAGAAGCTAGGAAGAAGGATCAGCATCAGAAGTGGGCCAACCTCAGACAGGACCACCAGCTATACAACACATGCGTGCGCGCACACACACACACACACACACACCAGCCACAGTGCCTGAAATTTCAGCAATAGACATTCAGTCCTTTGTAAGTTATCTTCAAAGACTCTTGTCAAGATTCATGATACAAATCCTATTACACACAGATCACCAGTCCAGATAAAAAGCCCAAGGAATTCCCAATGGTGGCAGTACAAACAGTCAAGGACACAGACTTTGAAAACCAACAGATCTGGAATCAGGCCTTGGCTTGGCTATTTTCTGACAGTGAGGATTTGGGACAAGTCACTTCACCTCATTGAGCTTCAGTCTCTTTACCCAGAAAATGGGAATAATAATAGTATATACCCACCAGGGCTGCATGAGAGACAAAAATAATTCGTGTAAATGTTTAAGCTCACATCTAGCAGATACTCAGAGCCCAATAAATATTAACTGCTGCTGATATTATTATTAGGCTGGAATATAACACTACATATCAAAAGCTTTCTAAGAGTGCATTTCTTTTTTTTTAAGATTTTATTTATTTTTGACAGGGAGAGAGAGAGTGTGTACAAGTAGGGGAAGCAGCAGGCAGAGGGAGAGGGAGAAGCAGGCTTCCCGCAGAGCAGGGAGCCCCATGCGGGGCTCGATCCCAGGACCCTGAGATCACGACCTGAGCCGAAGGCAGACAATTAACCATCTGAGCCACCCAGGCGCCCCTCTAAGAATGCATTTCTAATCCTAGAGTTTTATGCCTGGGAAATAGATGAGAGATCCAAAATTCATGTGCAAAGATGTTCATGGCAATGTTAGCTACAAAGGCAAAACCTACAAACCTAACTGTCTAGCAGCAACAGTATCTAGCTAGATAGACCTGGTATCCCATATGCCAAAATGCCATGCAGCTGGTAAATGAGAGGCCATGGCTCCACAGACGCTGGCAGGAAGTGGTGCCATGAGGTGTTGGGTGAAAAAGAGCAAATTGCAGAGTAGCGTATATATAATAGGATACTATTTGGTGAAAAAATAGTTGGAGGTACATATATACTTTTGTACACGTATGTACTTGTATACTGCCCAGAAAAATGTCTACCAGGATACCTTAACAGTCATTGTCTCTGGAGACTGAAGAAGAAGGTAAGTCATTCTTTTATTTTATACGCTACTATAAGGCTTCAAGTTTTCAGTTTTAATGAAGGACATGTACCACTTTCTAATTAGAGAGTGAGAGTGTGTTCTTTCTTGAAGATTCCAAATAAGCTCTCCTGTGAGGGCCTTTGTATCTGCTGCTCCCTCTGCCTGGATCACCATCCTTCCAAACAACTGCAGCCTTCAAGCTCTGTACAAATGCCACCTCCTCCATGAAGCCCTCCCTGATCACCCTATTTAAACAGCCATACCCTCTCTACCTCCCTTGTCACCCCCCCGCCGCCACCGTTGCCTCACTTTTCTGGTTCTCCGCTGTACTTGTTCACCCTGTGACCTACCATTTATTTTACTCGCTGGTTAACTGTCTGTCTCACCCCAACTAGAATATCAGCTGCACGAGGGCACAGGTGTTTGGTTTTTTTCTTGCTGCCTCCCCAGGGCCTGGCACGTTTACATTAAGTAAACACTTAATGAATAACTGTCTGGGCCCTGAAGGGACTAGGTCACAGTCAAAGGTCAGGCTTTGCATCATCTACTTGGGTCAGACTCAGAGGCTGAAAGGGATGGGTTCTTTTGGGCAACGGCTTCCAGGAATCCATCCTCACAATGCACTTAACACAAGCTCACAGACGCATACGTACAAGGACGTTCAATGCAGAGCTGCTCATCAAAGTTAAAAACTGGACCCAACTACATGTCTATTAAGAGAAGACTGGCCTAATCATTTATCACTCCAAACTATGGGGCACTGGGCAATTATTACAAAGAATAAGGTAAGCTGACAAAAGAATAAGATGAACCTAAATTACGAATAGGAAAACATATCCATGCCATATAGTTAATTACGTTTTTAGAAAGTAAATGGTAGGACATGCTATGATTTTACGCCACTTATCTAAAAATAAAAAGGATAAAGACTAACCGAGGCCACCAATTCACTAGGCGGTGACTATGGCTGTTACAGCTAGTGGGGTGGAGTGAGTGAGACAATGGGGACCTTTATATTTTGCTTTATACACACTTCTTTTTTTCTTTTTTTACCAACTAGCATGACTACTTTTAAAAGTTTTTTTAAGGCTTTTTTTTTTTTTTAAGTAACCCCTATACCCAATGGTGGGACTCGAACTAACAACCGAGATCAAGAGTTGCACGCTCTACCTACTAAGCCAGCCAGGCGCCCCTAAGGCATTTTTTTAAAAGAGAGGAAAGCACATCCAGAACCTGGAGGAGAGACTGTCCAGCTGCTCACGGCTCTCTACTCCTCCCACCCCACCCCCAACGGGACCCAGCTCTGCAGGGCACTGCTCCCCAGTTCCCAAGTCCCTGGTGCCCTGGAGCTGGGGAAAGGGCCCATCCTGCCACACCCTAACACAACTGTGATGTGGATTTTCACTGGTAGGGATTTAGGGAACCCAAACAGTCTCTGAAATACCATATCTCTGCAGATCGAAGCTAGAAGGGGCCTTAGAGGTCACTTCATTTAGTGGTGACAACACAGTGAGGGGCATCCAGGGTCAGAAAGGGGAAAAGTGCAGGAGGAAGGGAGAAGAACAGAGATGACCCAATCCCTACTCACATGTTGTACGAAACACCCTACCATGGGAGTCTGGGTGGCCCAGTTGGTTAAGCGTCTGCCTTCAGCTCAGGTCATGATCTCAGGGTCCTGGGATCAAGCCCCACATCAGGCTCCTTGCTGGGTACAGAGTCTGCTTCTCCCTCTTTCTCTGCCCCTTTCCCCCAACTCGTGTGTGTGCGCGTGCACACACACACACACACACTCTCTGTCTTAAATAGATAAAATCTTAGAAACAAACCAAAAAACACCCTACCAGAGCACAGAAGGGCATCTTAACAGTGGGTTCTGGCAAATCTACTTCTCCTACCTCCCAGTCCAGCCCACCAACCAGGAGGGGACCCTCCACAGCCCCCCAGGCATACCCAAGGAGCTTCCCCCAACACGCAGCAGTCCTGAAGCCAGAATCCTGAGTGGTTCCTTCACCTGCGCCACGACTCTCCAGGTCCTGGGGAGAGCCAGGCTGGCCCCCGCTAGGCTCGTCGGCCCTGCCCTTCCCAGCCCATCCCCACTGTTCATGCCGGTTCACAGCCCAGACCCTGCCTAAGCGTGGCCCACCTTCTCCACCGACGCGTTGGATTGCAGCAGTATCTTCTTCTGGAATTCCCCTCTTTGAGCACCATAGGCCGTTCTTAACAGCTTGGGGCTTCCAGAGTGGACAGGTTTCTGAAAAGAAAAATGGGCCTCCCAGATCATCATGGGAGGATCTCCCTACCCTGTGGGGGAACAGAGACCAGAGGCAGATGCTGAAAGTACGACCCGCCCAGCCCGCCTCCGTTGATCCACTGCCCTGTGAAAGGGACAGTCGGGTGTTGAAGGGATCCTGTAAAGGCATTCCAGCGCTGGGGAGTCTCCATGTTAAACCAGCAGCTTCTGCTCTCAGGACAGAGACTTGAGTTTGCCTTTGTGGAAACCACCCCGCCTTTGTCCTGGAAAAAACCCCTGGCCAAAGGTGAGGATTAGGGCGTGTATAGTCATTGCTCTAGAAGATGTGAATGCAGTGGTGCAGCCTGATCCTCCACAGGTGGTCCAAGTGTCCTGTAATAAGACCCAGTGCGAACGTCTTACAGCAGAACCCGTCCGAGCAGCCCACGTGGGATCCAGTCTGCACTGCCTATGCCCGACAAGTGTTGTGTATTTGCGGAAGGTGGGGTTTCTCTTTCAAGCCTCAGTTCCCAGGAACCGGAATCAGGCTCAATTGCTGAAGCAGTTTGCTGGGCTCCCCCAGCCCTGCACAAGATATTTTCTTCACTGCTGCGAGTCAGAGGCCAAACCACCACCCACCCCAGCTCCATCTCCCTCCTCCCCTCAAAATGAGACCGTCAGTCAAGGCTGGGTTAATCTTGGGGCAGAGATGAGGGCTCAGAGGAGCAGGGAAGTAGTTTGCCTCTGTTTGGGCCTCAGACCACCGGACCCTCAGAGAGGCTGGGTGGGGGAGGTAGGCAGGCCCCGGCTGGCTCATCTCTTCCAGATTACACTCGCTGGAGGACTGACAAAGTAGCCCAGGAGCCAGCCTGTGATTCTAGGTTCTCTGGGTTGTCTTCCCTCCAGGTCTGCCCTCCCGGCAGCTTGTAGACTCTGGGAAGGGAGCATGCCCAGACTGGAGGCAGCAGAGTGGACTAGATCAGGTGAATCTAACCAGGGAGGTGAACCGATGGACGTAAAGGTACTCTGGAAAGAGTGCCTCCATATAAGAACACAAACACACGACAGGCCCCTGGGTAGCTTCCAGGGCTCGGCTCCCGCTCCCACCTGTGGGGGCGCAGGCCTCTCTGGCTGCTTGTCTCTGGGGTGCTTCATCACCGGGGGGGCCGACATCAGGTTCCGTTGCAGGTTGGCGTTGGCCACAGTCCTGGCTCTGGGGCCCGGGGGCTGCCCTGGTGGTCTGTGAGCCCACTCCTGGTGCTCCATGCAGGACTTGCCCGACCATAGGCTCTTGGCCAGGAAGTTGTCCACTTCTTGGACCTGTGCCAGGGAGACACCCGTCCCGGTGACACTGCAGTGTCCCAGAGGGACATGCAGGGCCTCCTCGGCCCAATGCCAATACCCAAAGGGGCCTCCAGGTGCCCCAGGCCTTACTCCCCAGAAACTGCATACCCTTAGAAGCATCAAACCAGAACTCATAACCCTGTCCCGGGGCCAACCAGAAATGCCCTGAGTGCCCACAGGCAGCACACCGCTCCTGTGAGGGACTCAGTCTCCCCATCAGTGAAATGGACAGTGGTTTCCAAATATTTGTGAGGTTGTCTGTAATCTTAAGGGAAGCTCTGAAGTGTAAAACAGGTAAAAAGCTGAACTGCTCCAAGAGAAGCCACTGCAGTAGCCTCTGAGCATCTCTCCCCAACATGTTTGGAAAATTACTGGATGAGGTGACCCCAAAGGCCCCTTCCAGCTTCATCTGCAAAGACAGCATGATTCTGAGACGGTGTGGGTTTCCTAAGTCCCTCGCATGAGCCCGGTGAGCCCGGAGCGGGAACACAGCCATGAGGAGTAAGATAGGAGCCGCCTTCGAGGAAAGAGTCATCTACTAGACAGAACAGGACCAGCACCATGGGCTCTCCGCTATCACACCACCTGGGTCTGGACTGATCACTTCTGGGCTGTGCAACCTCAGGCAAGATGCTTAACCTCCCTGTGCCTCAGTTTCCTTGTCTGGCAAATGAGGATAATTCTAGAAACTAGCACCCACCTACCTAGCTCCCAACCTCCTCCAAAAGAAGTCGTCACATCCCCTCTCCTTCCTAACCACCCCCACCCGGCCCTCCAGCTGAGTCTGACCCACAGCAGAGAGAGAGTGGGGGGTGCTCCTGTTAACCATACCTTCTTGGGCAGCAAAGGCAAGGGGCTCACAGAGGCGTTGAAATTGAGGATGGGCTTGAACAGGTTGACGTTCCAGAAGAGGATGTCCCCATTGTAGGAAGAGGTCCCGAGGAACTGGTTCTGGTACTTGGCCATGCTCAGAACGTCCTCCTTGTGGAAGGTGTGCCAGTGGTAGCACATGAGCACCGGCTTGGCCTTGTGGAGCCTACGCACAGGGCCAGAGGTGGGAGGGCGGGCGGCTCGGCCTTACTGCTCACCAGGGGCGGGAAACACCAAGGCCTTTAGATTCTGGGAGGCAACTTGGAAGAGGGCACTCAGGTTGGAGCTCTGCCCCACCAACCTCATTTACAGAGCACCGACTGTGTGCCCACCACAAAGGCCCTATCCTCGGGGCTTTATATAAACTAATCTGATGAATCCACCCCCTCCGGACAGCTGAGTAAGGATTAAAGAAGGGAAGCCATGGCCCTCAAAAGGTCCTCTGGAAAAGAAGAGGCCTTGCACATTCTGTTCCCTCTGTCTGGAATGTTCCTCCTACCCCAGCCCTTTGCGGCTTTGCTGAGAAGACCCTACTCCACCCACACCATCCTCAGATGAGCCTTTCCTGACCGCCCCTGAGACGAAATCAGATTTCCATCCCCTCCCCGTAGAAACCTGTGCTTCCTTCCCCCACAGCACTCAACAGACTTTATCATTATAAATGAAGTTATTTGATTAGCCTCTGCCTCCCCCTCAGAGGATGGAGACCCCATCATTCTTGTTTACAACCATCTCTAGCATGTAGCACAAAATCTAGAACATGTTAGCCTCAAGGAGTGGTGAATGAACGGACGGATAAGCAGATGAAGCACTGGACATTACCCGCCATGAATTTCTTGCTTGGTCTTCCAACGACTAGTGAAGCTAGGAAAGGGGGAACCCATCTGAAGTAAGGAGGGCAGTCAGCTGCCCTTAGCTACTCACACACACCCTTGCTACTCACATGAAACAAGTGATTCTCTTACTCCACCCGGTCACGTAGAACGCTTTGTTCATATGGACAATCCCACTAATCTATGGAAGATGACAGAAAACAGAGCCCTGAGGCACCTCAGAGAAAATGGCCCCGGGTCAAAGCTCTCCATGATGATGAGTTCCCTAGAGGCGGTACCACCATATATTTTTCAGAATGCTCTCACATCACATTATCCCGTTTGATAGACTCGGAGCAGGGAGAGAGTGTAGGTATCCATGTCCGCTCAATAGGGGGATCCCTGGGAGGGTCAAATAACTGAGTGATAGGGTCTGGACAGTACTCAGATCCCTGGCTACTCAGCCAAGGGCTCCTTCTGAACTGGTTAAAGGACTTTCATAAGAGTTAGTCATGGGCTCAGGTCCCAAAGTGGCTGGCTTTGCTCTCTATGCCATACCCCCAGACTGTCTCTAGGACCCTGGCAGACATTGCCGGAACAGGAGTGAGCATGGGGCTCTCCTGGCCCCACTGCTAGAAATGCTGTCCGAAACTCTCAGACCCGGGCTAAGGTGTGCTCATGAATCGAAAGAACAAGGGTAGCTATAGCACTTGCAGAATGCTTGATAAGGACAGGCACTGTGACCTAGCTTCATTTTACAGGCGAGAACACAAAGGCTCAGGCAGGCATGAAGGCAGGCAGTCTATGTGCCCAGCCTGAAAGGGGGGCCCCAGGCTCGGGGGCACTGTGCTCTGCATCTCCCCGCGGTGCCCCCCGGCCCCAGCTGACAGAGCAGACCGACCTCCAGGTGGTCCGTGTTGGGGAAGACCAGTAGGCATTCACCAATGGCGTAGTTCCACATCTTTACAGTGCCGTCCCGCAAACCAGTGAGCAGGCAGCGCTCCGATTCATCCAGGCACATGGAGGTCAGCTCCATCTGCTGGTCGCCGGCCACAGAGAACTCCATCGTCCGCCTGCCCGTCGCCACCTCCCACACACTCACCAAGCTGCTCAGGCAGCCGCTCACCACCTGCGGGGGAGCAGACGGCTGGGGCTCCTAGAGAGGAGAGTGGCCCCACTCCCAAGGGTGGCCCCCACCTGTCACGGCTGGGGCTGGCCCAGCGCCCCCCTCCCCGTGATGCCCTGCCAAAATGGGCATCTAGGCCCTTCCTGCTGCCCGGTAAGGCCCTCATGAAGACAGGCCTTCCTTTGCTCAGAGGAGTGAGGCGATCCCCCAACCAAGTGGTGGGGCTCCCACCCCACCTCAGGCCACCGGCCCCCCTGTAGGGCTGCTTCTCATCCACGTGCCGCTGCCCCCACGCCACCCTCAAAGCTATGAATCCTCCCCCCGCACCCCGCCGCTGTGCTGACTGCTCCTTGGATGCAGCTCTGGACCCCTTAGGGGGTCTGGGTCCCACCCGAGGTCCCCTGGCCCTCCTGACAGCCTGAGGCATGACCGGCTCCAGCCCACTCACCTGCTTAAAAATCTTGCTGTAGAGGACGGCGCACACGGGTGAGCTGTAGGTCGTGGTCTTCTCCCCTGTTTTTCCTGGCTCCTCGGTCTCCAAGTACCCTTTGAGGATCCCAATCTATAGGTGAGGAGTGAGGCCGGCAGCTGGGCAGTCAGAAGGGCTCTGCCCCCAGTGACTGGCCCCAGGGAGAAACTTCCAATAAACTGCAACATCAAACGTCCTGACTGCACACAAACCTGAGCCCAGTGAGGCCTCTTGGCTCCTCAGCCTGCCTGCTGATACCTCTCACGCCTTCTCCTTGGGAGTCCAGTGTCCCTCATAACTCCTGGGAAGCTTAAAACATCAGTCTAGTGTCCCCTCCTCCAGGGAGCCTTCCCTGACCACACTAGGCTAGGGATCCATTCTCTGTGCTCCCAGAAGCACCTGGCATACATCTCCATCCCACCACGGAGCATTTTCTACTGTCATTCTCTGTTCTCCTCCTCCCTCCTCGGTTCCTTGAGGGATGGGGCAGTGTCTAATGAATGCCTTCTCGGCTCCTGCCCGGGAGCGGGGGGCTCACTCCCTTCCACACAGCACTTACCGAATAGGTGCTACAGATGAGACTGTCTTCACTCTTGTGGAAGTAGATGCTGGTGATGGGGCAGTTCCCCAGGGCGAAAAGCTTCCCACAGAAGGACTGGAGGCATATGTAGTCCTGCATGTCCCACACGCGGATATTCTGGGGGGTGAGAAATGGGCAGAGAGGCTGAGGGTGGACTCGCGGGGAGGCAGTGGGTGCCTGAGGCCTTGGGGTTTGAGGTGGGCCCACACAGTGCAAGTACTTCCAACACACACCTACTGCGCAGATGCCAACCGTACCACAGAGATGCTGTTCTTATGCTCAGATGAGGAAACCGAGGCTCCCCCGCCCCCCCCACCCTGCTGGAGTGGCTGCCACTCAACAGCTGAGGATGAAGACCAAGCAAGACAGCACAAGCCCCTGCAGACCATCGCAGGCTCCCCCTCCAGCCTACCTCAACTAAAGCCAGGCACCGCACACAGTGCCTACCGACAGGGTTGCCAAAAAGCCCACCTGTCCCCACAGCAGCCCCCTCGAGTTCATCCCAAGTTGAGGAACCCACAGAAGTCCCTCCAGGATGTCCGTTGCTTGGAGACATCAGCAGTAAGCAGGAAAGGGCATGACTCCAATCCATAACCAGCCTCTGCCCATCGCCACTGTGAGGATTTGGGCTAGCTCGTCCCGGTCCCCCGCCCCTCCAGCCTCAGATCCTTCAGCAGACGCCAAGACACCCAATTCTTGGGGCTACTGGGAGAAGTCCAGATAACAGAAAGTGTGGGTTGTGCTGGGGAGGGTGGCCTGGGTGACCCAAGGGTCCTGCCAACTCTCAATCTACTGATTCCCAGAAGACACAAATGTGTGCCCTGAAGGAGGACCCCTGGAGCCATTGGCTGCATCCCCACATTGGCCAGAACAGCCAAGCAGCCCCGCAGCTGGGGCGGTACCCTGAACCAATCGGTGCAGAGGCGCAAAGTGACAGGCCCAGAACTAGAGAGTCCCGGGCGCTGGAGAAGGTCTGGTCAGGCCCCGAGAGCCAGGGCAGCCGAGAAGGGGTCACTAGGAGAGCTGGGGGGGGGGGGCAGGGAGTGGCTCACACGTATCGCACACCTACTGCGTGCCAACCGCAACACTGCCACTTTCCCGCCAGTCCTGCTGTAAACCTCTCAACCACCCATCCTGTGGATGAGGGGACTGAGGCTTAGAAATCGGAAGGGCCTTGCCCAGGACCACAGAGCAAGAAACCAGGCTGGGCGACATGGGAACCCAGCTCTGGCAGACTGCTCAGAGTAGGGTGCAGGACTCCACTGGGGGCTGTCAGAGAACCCCAGCCCCCTCATGGTGACTCCACCTGGGGCAGCCAGGCCGGGTGTGGAACCATGGGCAGGGAGGTCACACCATCCCCCTGGGCCTCAGGCTACCGCCAACTGTGGCCCCTGGCCTGGCCGAGCTACGTGGTTTTCCCCGGGGCCATCGTCTCTGCCGGGGAACAGGAACCCGTGCGAGTGGAAGAGCTGTGCTCCATGAGGACAGCACCTTGTCCTTGGAGACGCTGAGGAGGATGCTGCTATTCTTACTGTTCACCAGGATGTGCGTCACAGAAGTCTGATGCCCCTTCATCATCCACACGGGCTTTTTTGAGAAGAAGGGGTTCCACAGGCGGATGAGGGGGTCATAGCCACCGGTCACTGGGGTCAAAAGAACGGGTGTCAACCATGGAGGGCCTATGCTGGGATCTTCTCCTGGGACCAGGCCCTGGACCCCAGGCAGGCGTGGCAGATGGGGGGTTGTGCTTATCATCTGCCCCTTTGCCCCTCCTCCTCCACAGCCTCCCCCATCATGCCAAGCAGAGCCTGTGTCACCACACCGCCCCAGGTGCCCACGGGCTGCGACCAGAGTGGCGGGAGAGGAGCCCGGACAGAGCCTCCCCCCACGTCCCCAGCAGCCTTCCCTCCGGTTCCACCAGGCCTGGGGTTTCTGGGGGACATGAAGATGACTTACCCACTAAGTTCTTGTCTGGGCAGTAATCAAAGCAAAGAATCCCTTTTCTTAAGTTCAGCACTGAAAACCTAGAACAGCAAAGGGCGAAGGCTGCGGGCTTGGAGCGACGGCCGCAGGGAAGCCAGGGGGCAGCCATTACCTCTCACCCAAGGACAGGAGCAAGCGCAGCAACCCAGGGTTCACCCCGCAGCCAAGTCGGGGCGGAGCACCACAGGCAGGGCGGTTGCGCAGCCCAAAGCCAGCAGCTCGTGGAGGAGGCGCCCCCCTCCCACCTGTAGGTGAAGGCACCCCCAAAGCAGGAGCAACTCCTTACAGCCGTAATACATTTAACTTAACTTGATCCTCACTTCAACCATACTGAGACAGGCATCCCCTGACCCATGACACAAATTTTTAAAAATGAGGGGATTCTAAAGGCCAGGAGAAGGGGAGCTCCTGGGTCCTGGTGCCCCTGCCTGTTCTGTGCTGGTTCCCGTGCTGGGTGCTGTCTCATGCATCATCTGGAGCCTTCATATAACCCTAGAGAGTGTCATTAGCCCTGTGCCACAATAAGGACATGGAAAGCAGAAATTAAGGAGTTTGCCCAAGGCCACAAGGCTGGCAAGATGGGGGTGTCAGGATTCAGACCCAGGGTGGGCATGGCAGGAAGAGGCAGGAGGCTCAGCTGCCAGTGCTCCAGGAGAGGAACAGGTGCAGCCGGGTGGATGGGGCTCAGGAGGGCCAGGGTGGCCCAGGCAGGGGTCTCGGGAGTGTCCAGCCTGAGAGTACCGGAAGCTCTGTGCCTTGGCACATGCTATTCCCCCTTAATCCATACATCCTGCTCTTCCTACTCAAACTCTGCCTTTGAAACTCAACTCAGAGGCCCCCATTGCAGGGTACCCCAGCCCTCTAATGCAGCATGCCCTCCACAGAACTGCCCCTGAACTGGCTCCTTTATCACTCCCTGGGGGCCTAACCCAGTTGCCTAGAGGTCATCCTGAAGGCTCCCTCACCAGCGTTCCCATTATCCAGCTGGGCCCCGAACCCTCGTTGCCACGTCCCACCAGAGCCCTGGCCTTTGCTCAGTTTAGACCCCCTTCATCTCTGCGTCAGCCTCCCAGCAGGTCTCTTAACCTCCAGTCTTGCTCCCACTCCAAATCCACTCTCCCTTCCACCGCCGGAAGGATTCCTCGAAAAACTGAAACTTTCAAGAAGAACATATCAAATACGTGTATCTCATTTATTGTCAAACCAGATACATCTCCCTCCATGCATATATGCACAGAGAAATCTTCTGGAAGAATGGTCACCAAAATGTCACTAGAAATTATTTCAGGCTGATTCACTCACTCATGCAACCAAGATTTACTGGCATCTACACCCTTCCGGGATTACCAGGGGCATAGAGAAGATGCCCCTGCCTTCACGGAGTTTTCCTTCCAGAGGGAAACAGCAGGAGCAAGTAAGTGAACAGAGAGACAAAGAAGATGGACCTGTGCACATTGGGACAGGTCCTGCAGGGAAATAAACAGGTGGCTTTGACAGGGTAGCTGCAGGAGACCAGTCTGCAGATGGTTGCTGTGTAGAGAAGGGACCAGAAGGTCAGAGGGGATGAAGGGAAGAAGGCCATGGCAAGCAGTTCAGGTGGCTTTGACTCAGTGGTGGGGGCAGAAGTGAGAGAAGAGGGTAAAGCAGGGGAGACGCTGTGGATCAGTCCACACACCCAGCACAGGCTCCCTCCAACTCCACCCTGGCTCCTTGGCTCAGATTCACTGCTGGCTGCAAGCATCTGAAGAACTCAGCGCGTGCTGGCTGCCAGGGAGCCAAGCTCTCAGGCCCACAGTGCCTCGGAGGCTGAGGCTGACTCTAAAGGCAAAGTTTGGGGGTGACAATGCCAGACCCCTCCTGTGGAGGCCATGCCCTGAGAGGTCCTTGCCAGGAACTAAAGACCAGCAAACAGTCAATGGTGCCACCTGCCGGCTGGCAGGTGTACTGCATGCAGACAACCCGAAGGGTCTGCGTGCTCTCATGGGTATAAATACATTCTCCAACCTGCCCCCAGAGTGTATCTCAAATCCTTCCATCTCATCTCCACCGGCTGATTCCAGGCCATCATCATAGGCAGCCTGAATTATTACAATGGTATCATCACTGGAGTCCCCATCTCCACACCTGCCCACTCCACTTGCAACAGAGAAGCCAGAAGGATGCTCCTACACATCAAACCATACCATTCCTGTGCTCAAAACCTAAGAATTTGTTTATATCTCTTACCAAATAATCGTAAAAAGATATGTTAGAGACAACTGGGGGGAGATTAACTTGGACTAGGTACTAGTAATATTAAAGTATCATAGTATTTTCTCTACTTCTGTGTGTTTAAAATTTTTGTAACAAAAATGTTTAAAAAATAAAAACAAAGAAGAAACAAGGGCATACTGGGTGGAAAGGAGCAATTCAAAGGCCCTGGGGCAGGAGCATACCTGAACCACAAGGGGGCCACAGGGGGCTGGAGGAGGAAGGTAGATGAGGTGAGATTAGGAAGGCAGCAGGGACAGACCACAGAGACCCTCACGGCCAGGATGAGGTGATCCTGTGATGTCCACCTGCCACTGAGACCCAATAAATAAATAAAACAAGAAGCTGAATAAAACACGTATCACAGACATGAGATAATACTACCACCAAAGCAGAGAATTGAGCCTCTGCTGCAAATCAGCTCCAAGCAAAATCCCACCACACTGCCTCACTCAAGGCCTGGAAGCCAGGACTGAAGCTTCCCCACGGCATTAGGCCTTCTCCGGGGCCCCTTCTGCAACCAGCAGCTAGTTCCAGGGGCTTGGGTGGGGATGTGCGCAGAGGACTCTGGCTGGCAAGATACTGGAGGTACAGTGAGGCCTGGGACACGTCCCCTGCTCAAAGGTCTCAGGTTTCCAATCTGTAAAATGAGGAGTGGGACCAAATTAGCCCTACCATCCCAGGACAGGAACAGACAGAGAGAGATGGGGCCTAAGTGGCCCTCAGTCTTCCCGCTGTGCCTCACCCAGCTGCTCCCCCAAGAAGACAGGGGGGTGGTGCCGTTCATGGTTCAACCTGCCCAGGAGCAAAATGTCACAGACCTGAAGTGTCCAGGAGGTAAAGACCTGCCGCAAGAAGGAAATAGGAGAGGCAAAAGGAAAAAAAAAAAAATCCCTCAGGAGAAAATACCTACTGTGAAATGCACGGTGAAAGATACACATGAGGGGCACCTGCGTGGCTCAGTTGGTTAAGGGTCAGACTCTCGATTTCAGCTCAGGTTGTGATCTCGGGGTTGTGAGATCGAGCCCCACATCGGTGTGGAGCCTGCTTAAGATTCTCCCTCTCCCTCTGCCCCTCCCCACCTTCTCTCTCTAAAAAATTAAATAAATAAAAATTAAAAAATAATTTTTAAAAAGGTACACATGAAAATGATAGAAGTGAGACATTTGAGAACGGGGTGAGACAGTGGGGATTGGGTAAGGGAAGGATTAAGGCTTTATTTATTATGTTTTACTTTTTTACAGGGTCAACCTACGTATATAGACTTACTAATGTGACTAATCACTGATTAGGAAGGAAGGGAGGGAGGGAGGGAGGGAGGCAGGCAGAAAAAAATCCACTCTGGGGTAGTGGAACCTGGAATAAAGGAAAGAGATCAGAACCATCTCCAAAGAGTAAGTGCTACCAATTATTGACCATATAGCACAAAGAGCAGTCAGCTCTGGCACAAGGGAAAGAAGTACTGCTGTCACCCCCTTCTACAGATGAGGACACTGAGCAAGGGGCACAGAGGTAAAGCAACTCGCATTCATTCCTCCATTCAGAAAATATTTTTCTGTCTGCTTACCCTATGTGCCAGCTTCTGTGCTGAGTTTTGCGTATAAATTGGTGGATAAAAGAGGCTTGTTATATTTTTGTTGCTGGTAGCAAAGATTAAAACCACACTCCATAAAAGTTCTCGGAACCCAGTGAGATCCACAGGATGCCACTGTCCTGGGGGCGGGCCCACTCTCAGTGGGGATGGCCACAGATGGCTGAGGTGAGGCCAGACCCTCCGGGGCACCATCCCATCACCCCCCGGCCAGCCCCCCCACCTCCAGCCTGGGGAGAGGCGCTCCTTACTTGGGGCTCTCTGGGGCTTTGGACGGCAACATGGTCAGCACCAGAGAGGACTTCTCAATGGCCGAACAGGAGGCCACCGTGTTCAGCTGGGGGATGAACTTGACCTGTTGGCACCAGTTGGGATGGAGAGCCTGGGAAGAGAGTGGCAGTGGTAGGGGCTGGAGCTCAGCACGCCTAGTGCCGTCTAGTGATTGCAGTTCTGACACGGCCACACGGTCCCCCGGTCCTGGGCCATCACTTGTCAGTGAGACAGGGGAAAAGCACCCAAGTCTGCTATCACGGGAACTCTTGCTTGTAAGCTAGAGAACAGGCGAAGTCAGCCCATGTGACAGCACCATCTGCCACCCCATCCCGCACAGGAGAAAGGATAGATGGGAGTCAGCCAGGCCCGCAGTCGCTCTTATCCACAGGGATCCCCGTCAGAGAGGAGAGAGGGGCTTCCCCGCCCCACCGCTGCCCTCTGTGTTTCAGGACATGATTTGGAGTGTGTGCGAATGTTATCTGGTGCAACTTGAACAACAAAAGGCTGAGACCCAGCAGTCAAGGGGGTGGCCTGACGGCACGGGCCCTGAATTCTCTAGCTCTGGCTCTGCAGTTTGGCCCTGTGCTTGGCCTCACAATCCGGGGATTCTCCTCTTCAGGACAAGAATGGAGGGGGTTGTCAGGCACTGAGCTACGTTTTCAATGCGCTGCCTCACTGAGTCTCTCTCACGATGAAGGCACCGAATTCAGGGCACCGAACAGAACATGGGACACTTAGCAACTGGGGTGGAAAATGAAGCCCAAGATGAGATTCCGACAGAAGATGGAGAAAAAGGTATTTGTGAGTGACTCCCCTTGAATGAGTCCCAGGGAGACCCTAAGTGCCTGTCCTTAGGAGCTGCCAATCCCATGAGGGTGACAGGACGAGAAAGCAGTGGGTGGACAATACAAATTTGGGAGGAGGTAAGCTGTGTTAGTGTGATTTACAGTAAGAAATGTATATTTGGTCTTCATGCCCATTTCTGGCACAGAGCTCCTAAAACCCCTGGAATATCCTAAGTGATAAGACAAAGGTGTCTTAATATTCGTAATGAACCCCTTTCAACCACACCTGAGTTTACATTAATGAGGTGACTTTTGAAAAGCCCCTAAGGATGGGGACTGGTTGCCAGGGGAACCAACTATGAGCTCGGAGGGTTGGAACTTTCAGTCCCACTGCCCTAATCCCTGGGGAGAGGAGAGGAGCTGCAGGTTGAATTGACTGCCAATGGCCAATGATTTAATCAATCATACCTATGTAATGAAACTCCATAAAAACCCACAAGGACAGTGTTCAGAGAGCCTCTGGGCTGGTGAACATGTGGAGGTGTGGGGCGAGCCTTGCACCCAGAGAGGGCAGGGACACTCTATCCACCCCCCCTTTCCCCATACCTTGCCCTGCATCTCTTCCCTCTGGCTGTTCCTGAGTTGTAGCCTTTTTTAATAAACTGGTGATCTAGTAAGTAAAATGATTCTCTGAGTTCTGTGAGCCACTCTAGCAAATTAATCGAACCCAAAGAGAGGGTCATGGGAATCTCTGGTGGGTCAGAAGCACAGAGGACAACCTGAACTTGTGACTGACCTCCAAGGGGGCGGGGGGCGGGAGGAAGCAGTCTTGTGGGACTGAGCCTCAACCTGTAGGATCTGATGCTATCTCCAGGTAGATAGTGTCAGAACTGAGTTGAACTGTAGGTCACCCAGCTGAGGTCCAAGAATTGCACAGCAGTGTGGGAAAAACACATTGTCACTGGTGTCAGAATCCTATAAGCACTGCAGCAGGAAGAGACACAGGCAGGGGCAGGCGGCGGGGCTGGTCCAGGCTGGCTGGTGAGGGCCCCAAAGGAAGCAGAGAAAGGGGCACACAGGAACCTAGGGAAGGGAACAGAGTGTGACAAGTCCCTGTGGTGGGAAAAGGCTTGGGGTGTTCAGAGAACAGCAAGGTGGCCTGCGTCTCTGCATGGGGTAAATGAGAAGAAGCAAAGTAGCAGGCAAAATGGAGAACAGGCCAGGAGCCAGGTCACCTCATGTACTGATGGTCATGGTAAGATTCTGTCCGAACACAATGAGAAGCTCCCAGGGGCGGGGGGGGGGGGTAGGGCTCTGAGCAAAGAAGTGACATGGCTGTTTCTAGCTCCTAATTCCCCTGGCTGCTGACTGGGGCAAAGCACTGCATGGAGAAAAGAAGTGCAGAAACAGCTAGAAGCTGCTGCAGCCGTCCAAGTGTCTGCCAGGACCAGGCTTGAGCAATGGAGGTGGTGAGAGAGACGAGCCATGCAGAGGAGCCACAGGATCCAACAGCGGCCCCCCAGACTGCTCCCAGTGACCAAGCCCTGAGGCCTGAGACTGAACCCAGCGGGAAAACCCACTTTCTGTACTGATTTTTGAGTGGTGAGTGTGTACAGATAATTACCATCGTAACAGGCCAAGGAAAGATACAACCTACCTTCAGCTGGTAACTCCTATACAAAGGGGACTTTTCATTTAGGAGCTTCCGTGCAGAAACTTTGGTCCAGTGATCTGATAGGAGAGAAAAACCGAGGTCCACATCACCAGCTCCCGGCCTTTGCCAGATCAGCAAAACCCCAGAGGACACCTTGAGTTGGTTTGCGACTCCTGTATGTCTCAAAAGGCTTTTCCATCCAAATGCTCGTTCAAGCTTTACCACGTTCTGGTGGATTCGGAGGGGTGAACTCAACACCCAAAACACAGACCCAGGCAGATAAACACTGCTGCCTGGAGCCCCTGTGCCTGTGCATGCTGAGCTGGCCCTACATCCCGGGCTCCTCCCTCTCCCCTGCATACTGCAATCTACACAAGGTGATTCTCATTCAGGGAGCTCCAGCTCTGCCGGACTGGAGAACCAACTGAGACTATAGGCTCTACTCTTTCTGGAAAGGATCATTTGGAAGTTTACCAACATGCCTCAAACGACATGCCCCACCTTGTCCAGCAAACATGCCTGGAGCAACTGCCCTAAGCACAGCCTGGCCCTTGCGGTGTTTATAGAGTCTCCTGGCCTCCGAAACCTCCCAGGGCCAGCGGCCGGGCCGGGGAGCCTCCAGGGAAAGGCCCCTGTGCACAAGGAAAGGTTTGACACAGGCAGATGGAGCCAGTGGTGATGGAACAAGCCTGGGTCTGCCTGCAGAGCAGGGTTTAAGGAGGTGGGTCAGAAGGATGGGAACAATCTGGGCTCAAGTCTGAGAGAAACTCCCAGGTAAAATGCAGAAAAGAGAGGGGGACCTAGGGGCTTATGCCAAGCATTTCACTGCTGCAAAGCCACCGGTCTCATCTGGCAAGGGAAGTGCCAAGGGGTGGAGTGTTGCTGAAGTGGGGTGGGCCCTTCAAGGGTGCAGGAGGGAGAAAGCTGAGCCAGGGCTGCAGTGCAGTCTTGTTTGCCTGTCTGCCTCTCCCATGAGGCTGAGAGGGCCCCGGGAGGTCAGGGGAGGTAGTCACCTGGCCCTTACTGTGTGCCTCACACTGCATGCTCTCCTTCTACCTTACAGAAAAGCCGTGAATTGAGTCTGCTCATCCCTGTTTAATAAGGGAACTGAGGTACAGAGAGGTTAAGCAATTGGAACCAGGTCACACAGAGCTGGTCCGTCCACCTCCTCCCAAGTCAACACACAGGTGGGCCCACCTTCGTGTGTGACCCAGCCTTCAGGCCACATGTGGCATGGAAGGCCTCCTTCCTACACTCCAGCTTCATCTGCACCTGCTCCGATCTCCTGTCCAACATGCAGCTCAAAGACCACCACAACCTCCCATACCAGTTCCCAGTGTGGCACAGCATGACCTCAGCCAGACAGCCGCCTCGGTTGGGGCAGCGCGAGGGAAGGCACCAGGGGCAGCCGCTGATGAGGCAGGAATGGAGCTGGTGCCCGCCCACTGCTGTATCCGAGGCAGGAGCCATTTTCCATCTGGCCAGTTGGGGGAGTGTTGCCCTGTCAAGCTCAGCAGGAGAGGTTATCACCAGGGCCTGGGAGCCCTTGGAGAGTGTCCTGCTCAGAAACTCTGACTGGAAGCCCAAGGGGCTGCTCTGGTGTCCTGGGTGGAAGGGGAGTCAGTGTCCCTGGGGGCTGGGGCCCCTGGTGGCCCGGGGCCTCCTCTAGATGGGTATGAAGCAACCTAGAGGCCTGACACTGTGCACCAAAGGCTCGATCCTGCACAGGGTCCAGCTCAGCCGAGCCCCCAACAGCCCCAGGCCCCAGAGCTGGGATCCAGTGCCATTGGCAGAGCCGCCCCAAACAGTACCCTGCAGCAGGCAGTCAGTCTGGGGTACAGCCCAGCAAGGGGTTAAGTTTCAGACTTTGGGGCGGACCGCCTGCTTCAGGCCACTTACCCTGTGGGGCCCATGCAAGTGCTGCACCCCCGAAAGCACCCTTCTGCCTCTCTTAATGGACTGTAGCAGCAGCGGCTCCCTCCTGGCAGTGGGTGGGGGACTGGAGGAGGCTATGTGCCCAGGGCACGCAGCACACAAGTGCTCAAGAGATGTCATGGTGCTTATGCATGCTCACATCCTTGTTGAGCCAGGCTCTCCCGCAGGCCTTTCTGCCCCACCCCCAGCCCCACAAACAGAGGCCACTCCCAGCCAAGGAGAGCAGACCCTCCTCCCGACCATGGAGAAAGGTAGTGCTGTCATCCCAAGACCCAGAGCAGGTGAGCGGCTTCCCCAGGGTCACACAGCTGGCCCAGGCTCGTTCTTGCAGGGATGAGCAGGGTCCTGCAGCCCCTCCCCTCAGCCTCCCCTGTGCAACCTCTTGCCTTCACAGAGATTGTCTCCTCAGCCCCTCTGGCTCCTGCTGTCCTCTCATCACCCCGTCCCACAGGCCACTCTGAGCTGAGCATACGGCCTCACTGCCCCTCAGGGGCTCCTGAGCTGGAAGGCGGGAGAGGGAAGAGCTCCCCAGGGCAGGGCCATCTCCCCCCTCCCCCAATTCCCCAGCATCTTAGCTACCCCATTTGGAGGTCCTGGGAAGGATTCGGGGGTTGAACAACCCGTGGGTCACATTGTCAGAGGTGAAGACGATGACGTTGCCTTTGGTGTCCCCGTAGCAGAACACACCTCTGTGATAGTCAGACCTGAGGGGAGGTGGGGACAGAAAAGGCTGGGTTGCACACACCAGCTGCAACCCTCCACCCTCCCAGTGTCCAACGACGTTCCTCCACCTGGGAGCGAGAGCAGTTCCAGCCTTGCCCTCAACAGCTGACAAACATGGGCCCAGCCGCCCAGATCCAGATCATCGGTGAACCAGGTCCAAAAGAAATCACTGTTTTCTTTTAAAACCCAAACAAATGAGTCCTGGTCCTCCAGATGCTCATTATCAGCTCACCCCTACTGATGGACCATGACACTCCCAGAGTCCTCGGCCTTGGCGGGACAAGCCTCTGCCAGGATTCGGTGGCTGACTTGCTCAGGGCATGGGAGGAAGAGGGACTGATGACTGAGTGACACCCCCCCACCCCCGTCAGGAGGGGCAGCTTGCTGAAGAGAACACAGACACACAGAGTGGGAATCTTTCCAGGGCTGTTTCCAGAGAGGCTTTCTGGGAGTCCCAACCCTGCTGAGTGATGTGGCCACCAAGGCTGTGTGCCAATCTCCCTGAGACTCACCAGTAGTCCATGGCCAGGACACAGCTGTCCAGATCAATGAAGGTGAAGGCCCGGGCACAGTTACGGTTGCTAATGTCAAAGAACTCTGGGGAAGACAGAGATGGGGAGACATGCATGGAACCCAAGCCCACGTCCCAGGCCTTGGGGGTCTGGTGACAACACGCAGCATCTGCTTACCAGCTGCAGCACCCCCAGAGGACTCTAACCCATGCCCACAGCTGGCTTGGTGACAGGTCTCTCCAAGTGTAAATGCATGCCCTCCAATGGCCGAGAGCAGGCCTGGGGAGCTGTCAGGGACTCACCTATCTTCTGGTCAGTAGATGCAACTGCAATCAGGTTCATGTTATAGAGACACACCATGTCGATGACCCACATCTGCAGGTTATAGACCTGCTGGATCTGGTTAAGCTGGCCAGAGGAAGAGCAGAGATCTGGGCTGGGGAGGTTTGCCCAGCAGAGCACACCAGGAGCACGGGATCCCATGAGCCCTCTCCTGCCACCCAAGGCCCTGGAGCCAGCCATAGACCTGGTACGGAGCCCAGTGTTCCCACCAACTACTGATAGGGCCTTTGAAGTTCCCTGACCTCTCTGAGTCTCAGTTTCCACATCTGTAAAATGGGCTTAAGGAACACCCCTCCTCACAACCCCTTTTTAGAGCCATTTGACATGCTCATTAAAGTTTTAAGTACTTTTTTAAAGATTTTATTTACTTATTTGAGAGAGAGAGAGCACAAGTAGGAGAGGGGCTTGCAGAGGGAGAAGCAGACTCCCCACTGGGCGTGGAACCCACCTGACACAGGGGCCTGATCCCAGGACCCTGAGATCATGACCTGAGCTCAAGTCAAGACAGTTAACCGACTGAGCCACCCAGGAGGCCCACTCATCAGTTTTAAATGTGCATGGTTTGTAATTCTGGGATCTACTTCCAAGCCACATCTATGGATGTGTTCCCACCTGCTCACAGAGAAGTGCGTGCGAGGGCAGGCCCTGCTATATTGCTGTGATAGCAACAGGCCACAGGCTGCCTGCAGAGGAACGCAGATATAAACCCAAACCGCAGCACCACTCGGACTTTACAAACGAGGGAGGTGTGCACCTGCCACAGAGAAGAGTCACCAGGATCTATTATGCAATGAGAAGGCAAGGTAGAAAGCAGCACTATCACGTGCTACCATGTGAATATTTAAAAAGAAAGGGGTGGGGGGATGTGCGTACAGTCTAACCACGGAAGAGCACCCCAAAACTGGTCATAGAAGTTACCTCCCGGGAGAGAATTAGGGTCTGGGAGAGGGAGACTGACTTCCCACGAACTGCCCTTCTGCCTGTCTCTTTCCCCCCCGCCAGTTTAATTGAGATATAATAGACACAGAACACTGTATTCATTTTTGCTTGTTTTGTCTGAATCTTGTTTACCATCTGCGGGTGTCACCTGGTTCAAGCAGCTTCTGAACAAGAAATCGTCCTGCCAGGGTGTGAGGTGCCTTTCTGCGTTCCCCTGCCAGCCTCACGTAACACCCCTGCAGACGGAATTTGAGTGGGCACTCCAGGCTCCAGGTGGGGGATGCCACACAAAAGGCATGTCAGCAGGAATGGACTTTGGTGTCCAGGGAAAGAGGAGGCTCGGGGAATGGGAGGATGGGAGAGGAGTTCAGGGTGACCAGCTAAGAAACTTGTATTTTACTCCCCGAATAAGGCCACAGACTGGGAACTGAAGGAAGCAGGGAGGAGTGCCACATGAAACAGAAGGGAAGGGGGCTTTCAGGCAGCTCTTCTAGGTGGCGATGCGGAAGGGCCAGCAAAGACTGGGGCAGGGAGGGGACCATTGCATCAGAACTCAGACACACCAAGAGCACAGAGGCTGGTGCTGGCAGCTGGGCAGTGAGGACAATGGGCCAGGCCCCTTGGCCACCTACACACAGTAGCGGGGACTGTAACGCCCATCACCTCCATGTTCCTCCCAGAAGCCCAGGGCCACCCTAGGGAGTTTCAGTGACTCGTCCAAGGCTGCACAGCTGTGAAGTGAAGCCCAGGCCTCTCCCCGCAGACTCCAGTATTTTCCATCTGCATGACCACGGCATGCAGTGGGTGTTCATGGACAGTGCTTGGTGGATCACTCTTGCCAATATCTACTTGCCCAAGCAGCCCCTCAAGGAGGAATGTTGGGCCTTCCGGTGAGCCTCCCTCTGTCCTCCTCAACCCTCCCAGACTTGGCCTCTGAGGGGTGCTGAGGTGATCAAGTAGCAGCCATAACCAACATTATTTAGCTCAGGCTATAAAGTGCCCTCTTCCCACCAAAATAAACACACAGAGAAAAAGAGGGTGGAGGGTGCCAGAAACCCTAGCCTCAGGAACTCGGGTGTGAGTCCCCCTTGGTCCTGGGCTACCAAGTACACCCGAGAGAGTCACTGGACCTCCACAGACCTGTCTCCCTAGGCAACCGAGAGGGGATGAGCCAGAACGCTCTGGCCCCACGGGACTCCCCCTGATGCATCTATGAAACACTGCTGTTTCACAGGCTTCTGAAACCCTTCCTGCTGCTGGTAGCCTTCTCAGGAAGCCTTCCTTCTCTGGGGAGCTGTGCCTTCCTCATGTGCTGGGCGATTCTGGCCTGGCCTGGTGACACTAAGTGCACAGCCAGTCTTCCTGAGTGTTTTCCCACTTACTGCACTTGGCCAGGAGCCAACAGCACAAAGACAATGATGATGTCAGCTTATATTTGTCCGGCACTCACTGGAGGCCTTGTCCTACTCTGAGTACCCTATGGGTATTATTATGTCATTAAATCCTCCCAGAAGCCTGAGGGGGTTACAGTGACCCCATGTGACAGATGAGGAAACTGAGACCTATATACTGTCCAAGGTCACAGAGCCGGAAGGTGGTAGTGTCAGGTTCTAAGGTGGGCTCCAGAGCCCACTCTCACAACCACTGTGATTTCCTGCCCGGTCCAGGTGAAGGATTTGAATCAGCAGCACCTGGTGATGGAGTGGTTGTGACAGGGAAAGGAGAGGGGGCTGATCTCTAACACAGGAACCTTGGTGGGTGATGATACCACTTACTGAAATGGGGCCCAGAAGTAAGCCTGGTGGCCAGGGAGGGCTACAGTGACATTCTGTTTGGAAAAACTGGGTGTAAAAACTGTTGGACATCCAAACACCCAGATGTCATCCTGCTTACAGAAGAGGAACATGAGGGTCCCAGTCCCACAGTGAAGCCAGAACCTGGCCCTGGGAGCAGTGACCACAGTGACCATGAACCCAAGACTGAGCTTACTCTGGGTCCGGGTCACCTTCACTATCGAGGTACAAAGGCAAAGCCTCCCCGACCACCCCATGTGTCTCCACGGGTGGGCCTCCCTCACCCTAAAGGAGTTAAGCAGCGAGAAGGCCTCAGACCAGATCTGCAAGATCCCATCCTTGGTGACAGTCAGGAGATGTCCCGTCTTCTTGAACCGCTGGGTTAAAAACTGCACCTTCACAATCTCACAGCCATGGTTCCTGTGGAAGGTGATGGAGGAGAGAGAAGGACTCAAACAAAAACAGAATGAAGAGCACAGAGGAGGAAGGAGAGAGCAAGCAAGGGGAGCTCCCTTCGCAGGTGCGCACGCTCGCGCGACGTGTGACTCTGCCAGGCGGGTTTCTACCATTATCAGCGGTGGCCGAAAGAAAGAGAGACCCAAGAAGGCCGCTGGTATGAGACAGGGCTCCACAAGCAGTAGCTTCTCCTATCACACAGCCAATCAGCTTCCTCAGGATGGGACAGGGTCAGAGGAAGCAGAGAACAGAGGTCTTTTGCAAAACTTCTTTTATGAGAAAAATGGTCTACAGGAGGCGAGTGGAGGGGGCCTTGCCACTGAAACCTTCATAATAAGAGATTCTGGAAACTCGGGGTAGAGAAAGGGAGTATAACCCAAGCACGCGATAAAAGTAGACAAGGGACAGTGTATCCAACAGAACCCCGTGTACCTGACTCCTCATCTCCAAGGCCAGGTCCTGAGCCCAGCAAAGGGCTCCCACGGCAGGCCTGGCCTTGCAGGACTTCCCAGCAGGCTACAGTGATGCCTTCTTTCCTGCCCCAAGCTGGCTAAGCTGGCGGGCTGGCTGCTAACGGGAGCACCATTTTGACTTCTAGACATGGCACAGCACACACTCTCCCACCTGACGTTCCCACACCTCCAGGCCCTGGCGGAGCAGGGGATGTTAACTCACCTCACAGGGACCCAGGGATAAGCATTTGCCTAGAGTTATGTCCTGGCTACAGGCAGAGCTCAAATTAGAACCTCGGCAGCTCCATCCCTACTCCAGTTGGAGTCCTCTGCAAATCTCACTGTGGACACCATGTGACCTGTGGCTGAGGGCTAACCCACAAGCCTGTGAAATTCCACGTCCGAAACAGTCTCAGTAGGAGAGAGGGTGATGGTGTGTCTGGACACGGCTCCTCTCTCTCCCCCGCCCCCCACGGCCTGCAGCGCTGCCCGGTCTGCCCTCAAGCATCATTCCCAGGGCCACCTGTCGCTTCAGGGCCACGGGACCCTGAGGGGTCGACACAACAGGTGAGAAGCCATGAGAAGTGAGTGGAGCCCTCAGGAGGTGTTACGCCACAGGGCCAGCACCTCCGCCTGCCAGACTGTGGAGGCATCCCAGAGGGGGCATTCAGTGATCTTGACCCAGACTCAGGAATGGGGAGCCAAATTTTAAGATGACCCGTTCATGAAGGTAGTTAAATAGTACTTGGCTATTTTCTCTGCCAAGCTGGAAATGCTCTCTGGGTTTGAAGGTTGAGCAAATAAATAGGGCAAAATAGCAACAGGCTTCTTAACGTTTTTGTTCTGGCCCTTTAAGCACCCTTGGGAATCTAAACGTCCCAAGGAAATAGAAAGACGCATGAAGGCTTGGCCACATCAGGTCATCATGTATGGTTATAAAATCCTTCATCGTTCGTATTTATTGACTATTCCTCAACTGAATCTTGACCAAAATTGTTTTAGTTGCCCTTTCCTGGTTTTCATTACACCATCTCTCAATCTCCAGGTGTTCTGGGGCAGAGACTACTTCTGGTTCACCGTCTTTCCCATAGCCTGCTCTGGGGGTGGTCCCGAGAACAGATCCAGCCACAGCACCTCCTAACCAGGCCACAAATGCCGGTCACCAAGTGTTGGACCAGAGGACCTGGCTCCCTGGCCCCAGCTGCCTGCACTGGGCAGGAGGTGCGCAAACCCCCAGGTGGTCTCCGGGAAAGGAACTCTGGGAAGAGGCCTGGGCCATTGGCCAGATCCACTGGAGGGTTCCTTGTTCTTAGGGAGTTCAGAGGTGCGGGAGCAGACAGGGCCATGGCACAGAAAGATGAGGTGAAGGTCCAGATGGCACGGTGCGGAGCCACGAGGGGGAGCAAACAGGCAGGGTCAGGAGGAGGTCAAGGCAGGGACAGAGCCACATGCTCCAGGAGTGATCAGTGGCCCGTTCCCGAGGCCTGGTGTGGCCTCCAGGAGCAGCTACCCGTGATGGCTTTTACTCCCCGCCATGTGAGCCATCTGTGCCCTGTGGATAAAAGCCCCAGGCCCACTCAGCACTAGCGGCGGGAGGAAGCAGGAGAAACGGTGATGCTGCAGGGAGGGTCCAAAACAGCAACCCCACCATTCTCATTTGACCTCCCCGAACCTCTGTTTCCTTGTCTGTAAAGTGGGAACACGTCACCCACCTTAATGCTCAGGCTCGCCTACAGGGTCGAGGGGCTGAAAGGAGCCTTGATGGCCCCACAAAGAGTGGCTGGCAGACTTAGGGAGCAGCGCTTGCTCCTTGTTCCCACACACCCCTTCAGTCCAGGGAGAGGCTGCTTACAGGGGGACGATCCTCATGGGAAGGTGGAAGCGCAGGCGGTACTGGCTTGTTTTCATCCTCTCCCTTCTCTGGAACTCCCGCATCATGTAATCCACATACTTCTGCTGCCTCGGGAAGAAACACGAGGCAGGACAGCGTTGGCCGAGCTATCAGAGCACTGGGCTTTGGGGGCCAATGCCTGGCTTCCGGTGCCTCCCCCATGCTTCCCAGCCCCTTCCAAGGGGCTCTCTGGCTCTCTGGCTGCTGCTTCCTGGAGCTGGCCAAGGGGAGGAGCCCAGCCCCTGAGCTGTTCTGGGATCTGGGATCCCAAGGACATATAGCAGCACCTCCCTCCTTCATGCGTTTCCGTGATGCTAAATACATCTGCACATCATCGCCACATCCGGCATCTTGTTTGAATCTCTTTGTTCACCCTCACTTTATGGGTAATAAGACTGAGGCCCATAAAATTAGAGATGAGTTGTCCCAGCTCATATAACAAGTTAACAGCAGGGGAAGACCCAGAAGCCAGGCCAGAGGGCAACTCTAGAATCTACTGATGCCTCATAAAGGCCAAAACAGGCCACCTTATGAACCATTTCTTTATAAAGAAAGAGGGAGTTATTAAATCATTGTGTAGATAGCAGAGAATTCTGGAAACATGTTTATTGTAGAATATTAAGAGAAATGAAAGAAAAAACAAAATAGTATGTATGCCTAAGCCGAGGAGAGGAATGTCAGAGTAGTTAACACCCGGGCTCCTGGGGCAAACTTCCCAGGTCTGAAGACTAGCTCAGCTGCTAACTAGCTCTGTCACTCTGGGCAAGTTTCTTAACTTCTTCATGCCTCAGTTTCCCAATCTGTCAAATTAAGGTAAATAACAAGACCTACCCTGTAGGATTCCTGTGAAATTTAGGTAAAATAATACATAAAGTGCTTAGCACAACGCCGGTATAAAGGCTAGTAATCATGTGGGCATTGCTACGTCAATACATCAGACTATTTTGTTGTACTTTTCTGTATCTTTCTGTATTCCATATTCTTGAATGGTACGTCTGCTCATCACAGAACATATAGAATCAGGGAAAAAATCTGCTCTAAAACCCTGGCGTTTTTGGATGGAAAAGCCACAGGCCTGCCTGTTGGCTAAGTGGCCAGAAAGGGCCATGAGATGGTTGTGGCACCTGCTGGGACTGAATGGGGGGCTGGTGGGCGGTATCCTTACTGCCAGGTCACTGACATTTGTCATACACTCTCCTAACTCCCAGGAGAAGAATGAGCTGCAGTAAGCCCTGCTCACAGAAGTCTCAGGAGGGTTCCCTCTACCCAACAAGCACCCCAGAATCCACAGGTGGCTTTCTGATGCCTTAACCACTTCCCCATCTTCAGCCTTCCACGTGCTCTATGGATCCACCACGCCTGGACCCTTCAGTGTCCCTCCAGCTACCTGAGGCAGCAGGGGCACCCTCCTCACCCAGGTGACGGAGCCAGTACAGTCTGTGTCCACCTTCAGAAACAGCGCCTCCAGCATCTCATCTGACATATTGCTCAGAATCTTCTTCATGGCCTTAATGAAAGCATTCATGTCCAGGGCTTCAAAAGAGAAGAAAGAACATCATCCACGTCATAGCAAGTCACTGGGCCCCATCAGCAGCCACGGTGTTCTTGGGTGTCTGGGCGCTGAGGGAGGGCACCCAGAGAATCATGTTTGCTGGTTTGTCCCTTGAATCTCATCTATCTGTTCAATCAGCCCACAAATACTGGCTGCACACCTTCCACGCCGGAGCCCTGTGTTGGCCCCACAGCACTGCTGGGTGAGGGGCTACTGAAAAAGATATCATTTCTGAACAAATAAGACAGGACCAGGCATTGAGACAAAGAAAACTGATGAAAACTCAGAAAAAAAAAAAAAAGAGAGAGAAAGAGAGAAAACAGAAAGAAAGAAAAGAAAAGAAAGAAAAAAAGAAAGAAAAGAAAGAAAGGAAAAAAGAAAGGGAAAGAAAGAAAACTAATAATGGCAACAAAGAGACATAAATTAATTCAAATATACAAAGAGAGAGGTCTTTTAAAGGCAGTTAAGGGGGGCACCCGGGTGGCTCAGTTGGTTAAGGGACTGCCTTCGGCTCAGGTCATGATCCTGGAGTCCTGGAATCGAGTCCCGCATCGGGGTCCCTGCTCAGCGGGGAGTCTGCTTCTCCCTCTGACCCTCTTCCCTCTCGTGCTCTCTATCTCTCATTCTCTCTTTCTCAAATAAATAAAATCTTTAAAAAAAAATAAAAAATAAAATAAAGGCAGTTAAGGGGCACCTGGGTGGCTCAGTCAGTTAAGTGTCTGCCCTCAGCTCGGGTCATGATCCCAGGGTCCTGGGATCAAGTCCCGCATCAGGCTTCCTGCTCAGCAGGAAGGGAGCCTGCTTCTCCCTCACCCTCGGCCCCTCCCTCTGCCCACTTGGGCTCGCTCTCTCGCTCTCACTCTCTCAAATAAATAAAATTTTTAAAAAAATTTTAAAAATAAAGGCAATTAAAAGGTTAACTTTGGCTGGAGGGAAAGTTGGGGAGGGGAGAACAGCAGAGGGCAGGGATAAAATACTCTCCCCATGCTGGGTTTTGTGACTTTAAGGGAATCTGTCTGTCGATGGGCCAATATCCCCAACTGGATTTTTTTTTTTTGTTTTTTATAATCACAGTCTATAAAAAGTGCTTCTAAAGTCCCCTCCAAATATCTGGACTCCTCGCCACAGTCCAAAGGCTGCATATTTTCTGGCTCTGCTAAGACCTCACCTCCCACTGCCATCCCCCACTTCGTTCCCGGTTCCAGCCATAATGTCCCCACGCTGTTTCTCACACCACCGAGCATACTCCCACCTCAAGGCCTTTGCACCATCTGGTCCCCTCCACAGGGAAGCCTTCCCTAGGGACTATCTAGGGAGGCCTCCTACCCCCGACACCCAGCTCCACTGTCGCCCCTGACCTTCCGCCTCCCTGCTCTAGCCCGTGAGCTCTGCAAGTGCAGGGTGAGCCTGTGCCATCCGTGACTGGGTCCTTGGCACACGGCACACGCTTGTTCCCCGAGTACTGCTGTTGGCACTAGGATGTGGACGCGATGATATCGGGTGCTTCTCTGTGTTCCCACTGACCAGTTAATGAGAGGGACTCGTGAGGAAACCGTGGGGCACAGAGGTGAGGTCATGCGCTCAAGGTCACGGGGTGGTACCCGAGGCTGCTCCCGGCAACCTGGTCCTTCCATGTATGAGTTGGATGTCAGTCCATGACACGGACCCTTCCCTTTAGGAGGGGGCCAAGAGCCAAAGAGCCTTTGTGCAGCGTTGAATGAACAAAGCCCTCTGGAGAGGGAGAGCACTAGAGGAAACAACCTGCTCCTTACACAGGTGTCTAAGAAGCCTGTGATTGTTCAGCACCATGTTAGGTCAATACACTTCTCATCAACGGTTCACCAAACACTTTTCTGAAAACAAGAAAAGAGAATAGACACAAAGGTATTTGGGAAAGGAAACATACACTGTGGGGTCCAGGCAGGGCCCCCTTCCCCCCTCACCCACCTCAAGCCAAATGGTTAATTAATCACTCAAAAACCTACATGTGAAAATATCACTTCCTTAGGGAGGGGGTCACCACCAGGATCAGGCAGGAGGACACTTTCTGGGGGACAGGAAATGTTCTATAACTTGATCTGGGTGTTGGTTACATGAATGTATGCAGGTGAAAGATGCTGTGAGCTGGACCCCAAAACCTGTGCATTTTGTGGGAAGTAAATGATACCTCAGTGTAAAGATGCATATTATTTTACTTCTGAATTGCACTCAGGGCGAACTCTAACCGCCTTTCCCAGCACCTCTGAGCTTAGCCAGCTCTACTTATTTTTTTTTTTTTTTTAAGAGAGAGAGAGAGGAAACCCGAGCGGGAGAGGGGGTATGCAGAGGGAGAGGAAGAGACAGGTTCTTAGACAGGCTCCACACCCAGCACAGAGCCCAATGTGGGGCTCGATCTCACAACCTGTGACTGTCACCCCTTCCAGCTCAGAAGACAAGGGGGTGTTCTGACAGCCAACACGCCCCAGCCTGGGTGGTCCTGGGCCCTTTCCTCAGGGAGGTCCAGCCTCACTCCATCCTCCTCTCTTCGGCCTGCACCCTGCCGGCACGTGCCCTCCAGCACCCAGCACTGGACACCCCCTCTGCCCACCACTCCCTGACATGTGCCCACCCACTCTCCTCAGCCACCAGAGACCTCGGCCCACACCTGATGGTGCCCTTCCTTGCCTTCAAGGCCTCCTGCCTTCAAGCAGCGACCCCACTGGTCACTCTGGTCTCCTCCAGGCTCCGTTGCCTGCCCTGCCCTGTCATTCAGCATGTGCCTCAGCTCTTCTCATCACTGTCCCCTTGCTTTTCTGACACTCTCCTTGAGTGACCTCACCTATTCACCCATCTCTGCATCTCAGGAGAGAACATGTCTCCCTTGTCTCTGACTGTTCCCAAGTGTTCCCCTGGTCCCTTCAACTCAGCATGCTTAAAATCCAGTTTATTATCTTTTTTTAAAAAAGATTTTATTTATTTATTTGAGAGAGAGAGAGCACAAGCAGGGGGAGTGGCAGGCAGAGGGAGAGGGAGAAGCAGGCTCCCCGCTGAGCAGGGAGCCCTATGTGGGACCTGATCCCAGGACCCGGGGATCATGATCTGAGCCAAAGGCAGACACTTAACCGACTGAGACGCCCTGGTTTATTATCTTTATTCCACTATATGTTGGCCTTTCCTGTGTTCCCCATCTCTGCTAATGGCATCACCTCCAGCCAGGCTGAAGACCTGAGGGGGGTTTCCAGTGCCCTCCCTCCTGAAACCTCACAAGAATCCTGTGGTCCAGGGGCACCTGGGTGGCTCAGTTGGTTAAGCAGTTAAGCTTAAGTCTGCCTTTGGCTCAGGTCATGATCCCATACTCGCTTCCTGCTCAGCGGAGAGCCTGCTTCTGCTTCTGCCTCTGCCTCTGCCTCTGCCTTCCACTCCCACTGCTTGTGCATGCTCTGTGTCAAATAAATAAATAAAATCTTAAAAAAAAAAAATCCTGTGGTCCTAGAAGACAGGTACTGTCATTCTCCCCATCTTACAGATGAGGACACAGAGGCACGGAGGTTCGGGGTTTGCCCAAGAACACACAATGGCACTGGGAGGATTTGAAACCCGAAGCCTGGGGCGCCCGGGTGGCTCAGTTGGTTAAGCGACTGCCTTCGGCTCAGGTCATGATCCTGGAGTCCCGGGATCGAGTCCCGCATCGGGCTCCCTGCTCAGCAGGGAGTCTGCTTCTCCCTCTGACCTTCCTCCCTCTCATGCTCTCTCTCTACCATTCTCTCTCTCTCAATAAATAAATAAAAATCTTAAAAAAAAAAAAAGAATGAAACCGGAAGCCTTCCCTCATCTCCATTATAATGTCCACTACCCTCTGCAGGGCGGTCACGTGAGGAGCCAATCCCCTCCTGGCCAAGACACTTACCTTTCTCCAGCAGCTCTAGATATGTCACATCCCTGTCAGACCCGCTGCTGGGGCTCAGGGCCCCTCCTGACCCGAGTGCACCCACATCCTCTGTGGCTGCCTCCCTCCCAGCCTTGTCCCAGGACACCCCTTCTCCTCCCAGCACCCAACACCCCTGCACCTTTCCTCTGCCCCCCCCCACTTTTTCCTGGGAAACTCCCACTTCACCTTTCTCTTTCTTTGTAAAGCTAAAATGTAGGATTATGGACTGTTTGTATCTATTTTTTTTATATACTTATAAGCATTTTTTATTTTTTAATTTTTTTAAAGATTTTATTTATTTATTTGAGAGAGTGAGAATGAGAGAGAGAGAGCACATGAGAGGGGGGAGAGGCAGACTCCCCGCTGAGCAGGGAGCCCAATGTGGGACTCTATCCCGGGACTCCAGGATCATGACCCGAGCCGAAGGTAGTCGCTTAGCCAACTGAGCCACCCAGGCGCCCCTATAAGCATTTTTAAATAAATGCAATATTTAAAATATTTAAGAAGAAAATGTTTCCTAGCCTCCTCTCTGCCATTTGGGGAGGGGGGGTGGAGAGGTAGGTGTGTGTCCCACAGTGCTTGCACTCCTAGGGCACAGTCACCAAGCAAAAGCACTGCATGGTCATGCCCCTGGCTCTCCCAGAAGGGGTCTTCTTTCATTTACTTTGGATCTTAAGTGCTACACGCAATGTGGGGTGCCCACAGAGCACAGTTTCCATGTCAGGGCACCCGAGTCACTGCATTTGGGCCTGTCGTTAGTGTCTGGCCCCTTCTATGTAAAGTCACAAAGCCACAGGGCATCATAACAACAGAATCAAATCTGACAGAGAGGGCTGGGTAACCCATGAAGCTCTGTACCAAGGCTGATTCTTACCCTGCCCGGCAGTGCTTGATGAAACGTCAGCTGGCGAAAGTGGGAGCACACTCGGCATGTGCACCCCACATGTCCCCTCGGGAGCACCTGTGCGGAAGGTCGGTGCCACACTGGCTCGCAGGCTTGGGGCTGCAGGGCCCCCAGCTCAGTGGCTCTCCCTTGATCCCCACCCCAGCAGCCCGCAAACGCCCCCAGGCAGGCCCCGGAGGCGGGGCCCGGGGGCACACAGACACTTTTAAGACCTCCCAGGAGAGGCACGGGCATCCCCCCTACAAACCACAGACCCAGGGGCACCTGGATGGCATAGTTGATGGAGCGTCCAACTCTTGGTTTCGGCTCAGGTTGTGATCTCAGAGTCGGGAGATCGAACCCCGCGTCCAGCTCCGCACTCAGCGCAGAGTCTGCTTAGGACTGTTTCTCTCCCTCTCCATCTGCCCCTGCCCCCCTGTGCTCTTTTGCGCTCTCTCAAATAAATAAATAAATAAATAAATAAATAAAAATAAATAGATAGGTAGATATAGATAGATAGATACATAGATACATACATAAATAAATAAATACATAAATAAATACATAAATACATAAATACATAAAATAAATACATAAATACATAAATACATAAAATAAATAAATACATAAATACATAATACATAAATACATAAATACATAAAATACATAAATACATAAATAAAATAAATAATAAAAAAAATAAATGAAAGAAAAAAAAAAGAAAAGGAAAGAAGAAAAAAAAAGGAAGGAAGGAAGGAAGGAAGGAAGGAAGGAAGGAAGAAAGGAAGAAAGGAAGAAAGGAAGAAAGGAAGAAAGAAAGAATGAACCAGAGACCCTCAGGGCGCCTGGCTGGCTCAGCCGATGGAACATGCTTGATCTCCGGGTTGTAAGAGCCCCATGTTGGATGTGGAGATGACTTAAAAATAAAATCTTTAAAAAAAAAAAAAACACAAAAAACCATGAACCCTCCTCAAAGACCTCCAATCAACAAATAAAAAAACTAAGGCCCCGAAAAGGAACTTGTAGAATAGACAGGAGAACCCTGGCATCTTCCCTTTTCCCTCCGAGACAGGCACTGATGGTCAGGTCAGGGTTCCCAGGAAATGCTATGGAACCCATATTCATGACTGATTGATTGATTGATTGACTGATTTTAGACAGAGAGAGAGAGAAAGAGCACAAGCAGGAGGAGCAGACTGAGAGGGAGAATCCGGCTGAGCGCAGAGCCCGATGTGGGGCTCTATCCCACAACCCTGAGATCATGACCTGAGCCGAAATCAAGAGCTGAATGTTTAACCAACTCCACCACTCAGGCGCCCCCATGACCCACCTCTTTAAGAGACTTTTGAAAGAGAAAAATGAACCTATTTTCCTTTACCCTGTATCAACGAAAGGTGAATTTTCCTTTCCTCCATTTAAAACCTGGCCAGTTTTTTTTTCTTTTTTTTCTTTTTTTTTTTTTTTAATGAGGAAACTCTTTTTACATTGACATGAAAAGATGTCAAGACGTATTAGGTAAAAAGCAAAAGGGAAAACTTGATAAAATTATTTTTCTTAAAAGCAGGAGTAGACAATTGTGCGGATCCTTTCTCGATGTATATGGATATCAAATCAGCATGGTGTATGCTTCAAATATGCTACAAATTTACTTGTCAATTATAGCTCAATAAAGCTGAAGGAAAGAAAACGAGGCGTAGAACAGCATGGACGACAGGCTGCCACTGCATACCAAAAGGGGAAGTGACCACATCGCTTCTGAGCTTCTCCAGGTCACAGGAGACTGAAAGAAGGCACTGTGGAAGGAGCGGAACTGGGCAGCTCGGGTCTGGCCTGAAGAAGACATTTTCTCTGTATGCCAAAAAAGTATCACGGGCAAAGTACTTTTTGACTTTTGAACTGCCTAAATACACTGCCTACTCAAACACAAACACCATAAAAATCGTGGTCAAAATTGGCACACTCAAGGCCCTCCAAGACCCAGCTGCCAAACACCGACACCAAATCACTCTAGTTAGGAGCCATCTCATCTTTGGGTCAGGCACATGCCAACCGTCCCTGCCCTCACTTTGTTCATCTGTGAGCTGGAGATTTCTTATCCTTTCCTGTCCACATCACAGTATGGCTGTAAAACTCAAATTAATGGGGCCAGGAGCTCTGCCCCCAGAGCTGGTACTTGGAGTCTAGTGGATATAAACAAAGATACCTTTAAGTATTCCTATTACTTGCCTTTATGTGTATCACCCCCAGGAGAAAAATTAAGCTCTAAAGAAAGAAAAAGTCTGATGCACAAAGGATGTTCTTCACAATGTTCTTCAAACTCAGTAAAACCTAAATATCCAATTGTAGGGGAATGGCTTAGTCCACAGTGTAACACTTGCATTCATGAGAAATGATGATTTGGAAGACCACAGAAGATATGTAAAAGCCCTTAAGGTATTATACATCCAGAGGAAAAGAAGGGTCTGAAGTCACATACATAGTACAATTACAGACACGTGAAAACACACATAGCCATCTGTGGCCGAGATACTTCAGGCAGCCCCAGGATGTCCGCCTCCCGGTGTTCGTGCCGTCTCATGATCCCCTTCTCTTGAGTGGAACAGAACCCATGACTCACTTCTAACCAAGAGAATATGGCAGAGGCGGTAGGATGTATGGGGTTTTGTGTACATAAGTGCATACTTATAAGACTGTAGCACACATCTTTCTGGAGTTGCGATCTCCCCGGCTACCCTGAACCTTGGAATCCACCATGTTGGTGAGTCCCACGTGGCCAGGAACCGTGGGCAGCTGTAGGAGCTGAAAGCAGTCGCCGGCCAATAGCCAGGAGGAAACAGGCCTTCAGTCCTGCAGCTGCAAAAAACTGAATCCTGCCAGCAACCTGAGTGGACATAGAAGTGGATCCTTTCCCCAGCAAGCCCCGGGTGATACCACAGCCCCGGCCTAGCGAGACCCTGAGCAGAGGAGCCAGCTGAGCCATGCCCAGATGCCTGGCCCACCGAAACTGTGAGACGATAAATGTGTGGTTTACGCCACTGCGTGTGCAAGAACACTGTCACACAGCAGTAGATAATAAACCATACATATGAAATTGTTTGGAAGAAACTATACCAAAATGCTGACAGTGGTTACATCCGGGAGCTTGGATCAGGGGTATTGCTTTTCTAGATATGAAATAGCCTCCTATATGCTTACAATATTTATATAACGACAGAAAGCTTTAAAAAGTTTAAAGACACTGGATGAAAAACTGCTTGTCAATTCTGAACCCTGCACACCCCCAGGTATGGGTCCCACCCTGTGCAGAAACCAGAAACGGAGCCTGCAAGGCGGCTTTACCTCTGGCCGAGTCAGTATCATCCTCAAACATTTTCTCCATCTTGGCCATGTGTAGCGGGGTAAACAGTTGAGACTCATGTTGGCTAAGGGTGATAGATGATGCCGGGGAGCTAAGAACCTCCTCGCTTTTCTGGACTCCACCTGGGGTGGATGCCTGAAACAAAGAGGACTGTAAGAACCGGGGAGTGAGAGGGTTGATACCTGAGCTGAACATTTCTAAGCACATCTTATTGAAATAGACTCTTCGTGGGGAGGACAGGGTATGTAGGGTTACAGTGAGGCAAATTAATAAATCTTTAACCCTTTTAGACCAAGGAAGACCAAGAAAGATCTAGACTGTCTGCCCTGACTTTGGGGAGTTCACTACTGGTCCCCTTTTGCAGATGCTGTGACTGAGGCTCAGCGAGGTAGCGGACACGGACAAGGTCTCACCTACACAGACCAGGAGTCCAATTTATAAGGTGCTTCCGTTCAGTAACTGTATTGTTTCAATCTTCAGTGCTCAGAATTCAAGACCCCAAGGAATCCAGCTCCATCTTCCCCAGCCAATTTGATTTGGTCCTGAGCTTCCCAGACGCCCGCCTGGGTCAGGGTCAGATCAGATCATCTGCACACACACCAAAGCTCCTGGAGACACCCCTGATAGGGGCTTTCTGCTTCTTCCTCCCATTGTCTCCCCACGCCCCCCCACATAGCCTATCCTGCCCTCTCCAGCCTATCCAGCCTATCCAGCCATCAACAATGAAAACACCTCCTCTCCGTAGCCCCTACACACACTTAACACAATGCTTCAGGTCACGAAAGGCTCAGGTCATCAAAGGCTGCTTCCCCCAAAGGATGCCAGGAGTGGACCATGGGATAACCATTGAATGTTTGTTGCTCACTGAAATGCACTGCGTTGGGTCTTGGGCATTCAAGACTTTGGTTCAAAAAGCCAAAAACAATGTGGATGAAGTTGGATGGCTCACTCTCCCCACCCCGACCCCACCAAACCAGCAAACATACTCATCCTCCTGTGAACTTCTGTTCATTCCCTCATGGTCTATACACATTTGTGGAATGTCAGGCACTGTGGGTACATGTGTGAACACAGTGAAGACCTGCCTTCCTGGAGCCCAACAGGTGAGCTAATTAATATTCCCACAGCCACACAGGTCTCAGATTAGACATCTCAGCACCATCTTTGGCTCTTCCCTTCTCCGTCTATGCATTCTTACTGTCCCTCCTGCTGATTCTTACTATGATCCTCCTCCTATACCTAACCCCTGCTCTCCCACATCCCTGGCCCATCCCAAACACTGGCCTTGTGCTGGGACAAGAATAGGGATGTCCCCCAACTGGGACCAGAGTTTGGCCTTCCTTTCCCCTCCACCTCCCCACATTGGGATCAATCACCTTTCTGGAAGACAAATCTGATTATAACTTTACCCCAGCTCTGACACTTTCCAGGCTACTACCATGGCCCCCACCCCCACTCCTGTGTATGGCATTCAAAGCCCTTTGCATTGTAGCCCTGACCTGTCTTTCTAGTTTCAGGGCTCACACCATGGTCCAGGCACACCAACTGCTCTCCATCATCCCCAAACACAGCAAGCATTCCACTTTGACTCACATGTTCCCTCTATGCAATGCAGACCATCTCCCCTTGACGTGAACTCCTACCCACTCTTCAAATCCTGGCTCGAATGACACCTCCTCCAAGGAGCTTTTCCATAACTTTCAGGTGACAGTCATCCCTGCCAACTCCATGCTCCCAAACTCTTTGTTCATATCTGCCATGCATGTATGATACTTGTGCATGTCTGTCCATATGTGTAGACAGCAAGGGAAACACACGGCTGTAGAGTCCCAGAGCTCTGGGTTAGAATTCTGCCTGGCTCCCTACTTCCACGCTAATTTACCTTGGGCACATCACATCACTTCTCTGAGCCACACGTTTCTCATCTGCAAAACAGAGACCTGCAGTGCCCACCTTGCAGGGTTGTGGTAGTACCTACATGACCCCCAAACACACTGGCAGTCTCAGCAGACTGTAGTTACACAATAAATGATAGCTCCTATTATTACTCTTATCTCCTAGTGAACTCTTTGAAGGCAAGGGCATATTTAGTTTATCTTAATTTAATCTTATTTAACTTGTACTAATGATCTCTCTCTTCCCCGGCCCCAAGCATGCAATAGACACTAACTGCTTATCCTAGGCTTGGTACAGCCTATCCCACCCCTGCCACAACTTGGCTGGATAAAATTAAGGATAGTCCCTCCAGAGACTGCAAATTGGTAGCCTCAGATTTGTTGCATTTGGCCAACATAGTGTTTTAAAAGGGAAAACCAGCCTGCTGCCATGCACAGGTAACTTACCCACCTGGCCTTGCGAATATCTGAGTTTGCTACCCTGATGCAGAGACAGGTAACTGATAGACTTCTGAGCTAATGAGCGACATCTGGGTGGCTCTGGAACGCCCCTCCCCTTTACCACCTCTAATAGTTTTCTTACCTTTTGAGACTGTGGGCTCTCTCTTAAGTCCTCGGAGGACACTGGTCTTGACCTAGAATAGGGAATCATGGTCACTTTATTCCAACTTTCTAAGACCATGTGGGAGGCTGACCTAGCTAGGTCACAAGAGGGTGGAAAAGAAGTTAGGGTCAGGGGTCGGGGGCTGCTGCCCTGTACCCACAGACACGCCCAGCACATATCTGATGAGCATTCTTTTTCCCCAAGAGCTCCTCCAGTAGGAAGCTTTTCCCAAGCCTATCCCTGTGAGCCTTCTTTCCCCTGATGGGAAGGAGTTGTCCTACTGAAGCCCTGGGGCTTCTCAAGTGAATGCCAGAGGATTCCTAAAGCAGGCCACACTTTCTACAGAATTAGAAGGGGCTGAGGAGGCCATGCAGTTAGGAGACCAACTACAATTCACATACCGGGAAAAGAAGGTCCAGGGGCAGGTACATGTCCAGAGGGTCAAACACAGGGTCCGGAGATGGGGAAGGATGGCCCTACTTTCCACTTCCTCACCCCGCCCCCACCCGCCCTCCAGTGCGCCTGGAAACAGGACTTCTATGGAAGGAGGACGGAATCCTCCTCACTGCAACATGGGATCACATGAGAGTGTGGGAGAGGTCCGGTCCACAGAGTTCTACTCTGAGAATAGAAAAGACATATTTCTACTGGGCCAGTGGCTCCTCCATGTAAGATGGAAGACAGCACTTTGTTAGGATTATTTGAGTGTCAGTCTGCCTCACCAGCAAGAATCCAAAGGGCTTTTTAGGATGGCAGGGGAATGCAGGGGAATGGCCAGGAAAGAGTCAAGCCCCAGACAGGCTCAGGGGACAGAGCTAATGAGCCAGCCTGGCTTGACAAAGGGCTCCTGAGGTTGCAAGGAGGGGAGGAATAGTGGGAGAGAAGAGAGGAAAGAAAAATGGAAGCAGAATGTAGAAGCTCCGGTATTTTGCCAGGGAGTCTGAGCAGGATGAAGGGCAATTATGGAAACTCATCAACATAAGTGGAGGGAAGACTGAAGACTGGCCAACAGTGTCCCAACCTAAATTGTCTTGGCAGCAGCTCAGATGTAAAAACCAAAGGAGAGACAGGAGCCAAAGGAAAGGAGATTTGGAAGCCAAGAACCAGGGTAACTGAGGGAAATGCCAGGAACATTTCCAGGAAAGGCAGCAAAGAGGGAAAGTGGCTTCATGCATGTGATGCTGGGCTGTCCAATTAGAAATGAGAAACAAATACCTGGAAATATGGGGCCTGAAACTGATGACTGGCTACATTTAGGGGACAGAAAGAGGAGGGGAAACACGCAGAAGACAGGAGGAAGGGAGCCTCAGAGTGGACCAAGAGAGTAAGAAAAAGACAAGGCCACTGAACACAGCCTTTAAAGGTCACTGAGGAATAAAGCTGCAGGAGTGGATTGAAGGATCCACTTCTGTTAAGAATATTATGCATGGGGGCGCCTGGTGGCTCAGTCAGTTGAGCGTCTGCCTTTGGCTCGGGTCATGATCCTGGGGTCTATCCCAGAGCCCCGTGTCAGGCTCTCTGCTCAGTGGGGAGCCTGCTTCTCTGCCTGCCGCTCCCCCTGCTTGTGCTGTCAGGTAAATAGATGAAATCTTAAAAAAAAAAAAAAGAGAGAATATAGTGTATGTATATGTTGGCACATGCATAGAAACAGAGCCTGGAAAAATACACTCCAAATTTAATGGTGGTTATCTCTGGCAGGTGAGATTATGGAGGATTTCTATAGTTTAAATCATGCATTTCTCCATTTCTAATTCAAAAACCATTCATGTCAATCTTCAGGATTTATTTCGGTGGAGCAGGTGAAGTGGTGGGTAGTGATTTACATCACTCATCTGTGAAAGACCACTGGCTAGGTGGACTGCAGCATCGTTCGTAGTGGCAAAAAATAAGGCAAATTGGCTATGGGAGAGGAGCGGCTGAGTGAATCAGTACGCCTGCGCTCAGAACATCCCCCCAGCACTCAAAAGGCTGAACCTGGCCTTCAGCAGAGGACGAGCAGGGATTTCCATGAGGTAGTAATAAGTAAGAAAAGATGCAAAAAAGAGTGCACAGTATGATGCCAATTATTTTTTTTATTTATTTTTAAAGATTTTATTTATTTATTTGAGAGAGAGACACACAGTAAGAGAGGGAACACAAGCAGGGAGATGGGAGAGGGAGAAGCAGGCCTCCCGCCGAGCAGGGAGGCCCGATGCGGGGCCCGATCCCAGGACCCCAGGACCACGACCTGAGCCGCAAGCAGACGCTTAACGACTGAGCCACCCAGGCGCCCTGATGCCAATTTTTATAAAAGAATGACAAATAGGTATGTATTTACACATATAAGAACATGTGTGTACATACACACATACATACCACATTTGTAAACAGGACTACCCTTAACAATTATGGGGCCGAGAACAAGAGAACAAATATACGTCCACAGAGCAAGTCGTTTTAAGTACTTAGAAATCAAGTTAGTATACTATTAAATAAAACACATTCTATTCTTCTACCTTGACAAATACTTTCCATAACCTGGAAAACCAGTTTCAAATTTACAGTTCTTGAACTCCTCAGCAAAGTGCCAGAATTTGGCAGTGTGGACAGAGCCAGCTTCCAAGTCCTCTGCCCACCCACCATACCCAACCCGTCCTGGTTAAGGGGCTTGTGGATGGTGGCAGGTTGACAGACACCCCAGCCCACATGCAAGCCACACCTCACCTCCACCGCTCCACAGCCACCTCAAACCTAGGGGGCTGCCCTCAAAAATTACACACTGGGCAACAGGCCCACAAAGAAGCGACTGCCTTCGGCTCAGGTCATGATCCCAGGGTCCTGGGATCAAGCCCCGCATCGGGCTCCCTGCTCCCCGGGAAGCCTGCTTCTCCCTCTCCCACTCCCCCTGCTTGTGTTCCCTCTCTCGCTCTGTCAGTTAAATAAATAAATAAAATCTTAAAAAAAAAAAATCAGATTCAAAGCACTTTGGGCATGGGACTCCAGTATTTAGAGCTGTGGGGGCTGGGGGGGGGAGCTCTAAGGGCCATTAGTAGGACCATTGGTGAAATTTGAACACGGACTCTATATTCTTTTAAGATTTTTATTTATTTATTTGACAAGAGAGATACACGGCTAGAGAGGGAACACAAGCGGGGAAGTAGGAGAGGGAGAAGCAGGCTTCCCGCTGAGCAGGGAGCCCGATGTGGGGCTCAATCCCAGGACCCTGGGATCATGACCTGAGCCAAAGGCAGACGTTTAACGACTGAGCCACCCAGGCACCCCCAGACTCTATATTCTTAGATAATAATCAAATTAATGTTGTTTCCTGCTTTTGACTACTGTGCTGTGGTTATAAGAGGGAATGTCCTTGGGGCGCCTGGATGGTTCAGTCCGTTGAGCGTCTGCCTTCGGCTCAGATCATGTCCCAGGGTCCTGGGATCAAGCCCCGCTTTGGGATCCCTGCTCAGTGGGGAGTCTGCTTTCCCTCTGCCTCTGCCCCTCCTGCTGCTCATGCTCTCATTAATAAAATCTTAAAAAAAATTAAATTTCTATCTAGAATTAGAGAACAGGTTAAGATCAGGAGAAGCCATCCCCATTGGCCTCCAACTATTCCCTCACCTTTCCCTGCTCTGGGGGACGTGGCGGGATGGAGCACGCCACAAACCTGGAAACGGGAGAGAGGTTGAAACAGCCACTAGGGGGGCATGCTAGGGATGGGAAGAGAATCATTGGTTTGTGGAATTGGTGTGTAAGAATTCATAGGGGCAGATGACTTAAGGCCAAACACAGTTACAGCTGTCCCGGAAACAGAAATGCCCTCCTGTTCAGCCTTTGGTTGCAGGCAAATGCATCTCAGGGCCCGCGTGTCCAATCTTTGGGAGACAACGTTAACCCAAAACCCTCACTCACCCTGAACCAGCGTGTTCTCCCCAGGTAAACTTGCTGGCTACGTTTGACAGAGGTATGCTGGTTTTCGACTTCCATTTCAACTGAGACATCTTGGCGCTGTCCCGGAGTCCCAAGGAGCTCCTCTATGAAGTCACTGCGGAACTCCGAGGGCTTCCGCAGTCAGCTGGCCACGTTTAGAACCAGGAGAACAAGACAGTTCCACGTGCAGAACACAAAACGGAACATCAGAATCCATCCCACAAACCACACCACACAGCCATCTTTCATCCGATGTGAAGACATTCTCTTTATTGATAAAAGTTGAACTTAAAACAACAACAGGAGCTACAGCACACTCAGACAGGACAAGTATGAGTACAACATGCCCTGTAGGACATATACAGCACAGTGCCCACCTCTCACGGAAACAGTGGGAAATGCGAGGGGGCCTTATCATAAAGCAGGATTCGCCAAAACCAAAAGGCCAACTGGCCCCCACAGCTGGGACACGGAAGGCACAGCAGCTCTCTACGCACTGCCCTCTGCGTGAGCTCTAATTCTTTGACAAGAGGAAGGCTACAAGAGCATTGTGGATGGGGGTCCTTCGATCTAACCTCAGAGAGGCCTGGACTAGATGCAGCACTGTTCAATCTTGGTCCATGGCACAACACAACAGGGTGACTTGGTCAAAGATAAATCTGTTGGGAAGATTTCAACCAGGGACGTGGATACCCAGGTTTAAACATACCCAGGTTAAATCCTATTTCGTGACCTAGATATTGCCAAAATGTTAATTTACCACCAAACAAGACATTCTCCCCAGATCTATACCACAAAGACAACACCAACATACAAAAAGTCTGCTCCCATTTCATCAATAATGGAGACAAAATTTTGTCACACTGTAGGACATTAAAAGTAGAGTAGTTCAATGAAATGTCGTAAAAGGTACAACTCTTTAAAATCAGTTTTATTAAACTAGGTATTAATACTAGAAGGATTTACTGAAAAAAGAAAACAAGGCCAATGGCTCCACATGTGACTGCTTCCCACTCTTTTTGGCTTTCATTTTCCAGGCCAATGTGACTATTTCTACATACAGCAGTTCCTGCACTTGTCAATTTTTCGATATGAGCCTAAAATATGATAAAATTCTGTCATAATAAATATATTTCTCCTTCCCTGGGAAGAAACAGGAGAAAAAGGGGGAAATATTAAGATGCATTCCACTCTTTAGGTAAAGAAAGCTCAGAAAACTCCCACCTAAAAAAAGTGAAAATATGACCACCAACAACTCAGGTTAAAAAACCAAAAGACGCAACAAGACAAAACAAAACCCAAAAAACTAAAAATAGAAGAGGGAAGGAAGATGTTCACAAGTAAAATCTCCTAGGGGCCCCTGGGTGGCTCAGTCAGTTAAGCATGCGACTCTTGGTTTCAGCTCAGGTCATGATCTCATGGGTCGTGAGATGGAGCCCCTGTGTTGAGTCCCACTTGCAGCAGGGAGTCTGTTTGGGATTCTCTCCCTCTGCCCCTCCCACACACACACTCTCTAAAATAAATTTTTAACGCAGGTTCAAATGCCAAAGATTTCAAAATACTATGATTCAAAAAAAAAAAAAAAAACAGACATTCTCAATGTGCTTCAGTAAGTACTTACCCACCTCCTCCCCCCAAAAGAAAACACTTCTTAAGGACTGGGGGGAAAATATTAAATCACAGAATTAGAAATTCTTAGGAAATTTTTTTAAATTATTTTTATTTCATTCAACATTGAATTATTTCTTCTCTCAGCCTTTAAAATTAATAGGGAGGGTGGTGCACACAGAGGCAAGCTGGGATAGCCTACAGCTACCTGTAAAAAACACAAACAGTTTATTCCATTCAACCATGCAGGATTTAGATTTTAAATTAAAAACAGCAGTCATATTTAATTATACGTTTAACTCTCCCATCCTTTTATAGAAAAACATATAAAATACAAAAAAAAAAAAAAGGTGGTATTGGGTTAGAAACCTTTAGAATGCTAAAATTCAGATGGACCATGAGGTATGACAGACCTTAAAATCACTAGAACTACCTCAAAATAAATCAACAGGGCCACCATGTGAGAACTATGAATACAAACGAGGTAAAACTACTGGTGAGCAAGGAAGGGAGGAAAGGAACCTGCAGGTCACTCAAACCCAACTAGGATAAGCCATAGCAGATCCCAGTGCAGCATGTCTACAGAGTCTTGTACTACACGGCGATTCGGGGATGGGCATAGAGCAGGCCCCCTTCCCCACAGATTCACTCTCCAGCCTGTCACCCACAGCCAACTGCGGTCTGGAAGCAGATGCTCCTCCTGACTTACGCGCAGAAGGTCAACAGTAGCCTAATATTACGTCACAGTGCCTACCCTACATCATTCACCTGACTTCACCTCCGTATGTGGGCGTTTCACCATCTCCCATCATCACAAGAAGGGGGGAGGATGGTACGCTAAGATCCTCTGAGAGACCATATTCATTGAACTTTTATTACAGTATACTGTTCCACTTGTTCTATTATTAGTTGTTGCTAATCTCTTACTGTGCCTAATTTATAAATTATTTTATCATAAGTATGTCTATATACGAAAAAACATAGTATAGAAGGATCAGTACTAGCTGCAATTTTGGGCATCCACTGGGGGTCTTGGAAACGTATCCTTTGCAGCTACAGTGGGACTGCTGTATTAGCAAAGCTCTCCCTGCAGCTGGCAGCCAAACGCATGTTAAACTACTTGTTACTTCTCCTGTCAAAGCTTCTTTTACGAACTTTTTTTTAAAAGTAGGCTCCATGCCCAGCGTGGAGCTCGATGCAGAGCTTGAACTCACAACCCTGAGATCAAGACCTGAGCTGAGAGGCACCTGGGTGGCTCAGTTAGGTGACCAACTCTTAGTCTGGTTCAGGTCATGACCTCAGGGTTGTGAGATGGAGCCCCCAATGCTGGGCTCCACATTGGGCTCTACACTGGGCATGGAGCCTGCTTGGGATTCTTTCTCTCCCTTTCCCTCTGCCCCTCCCCACCCCTTCTCTCTCCCTCTCTAAAAAATAAAATGACCTGACCTGAAATCGGGAGTCAGATGCTTAACCAACTGAGCTACCCAGGCATCCCTGGAGTCAAAACTGTTATTAAAACACAGAGAAACTGTACACTTTACAATTTCATTGTCAGAATTTTTTCAAACTTTCACATACTAAGTGTATGCAGCTGATGCTAAGAAAGATTGTGTTTTTCTCTGAACCAAAGCTGTCCCTCTCCTAATGAAAACTGGCCCGAGGGGCATCATTTGCCAGAACTAGGCACTCCTCCATTCTTTTCTACGATCAGCTTTTCACAGACCTAAGTAACTGCCTCTGGTCCAGAAGGGATCTTGGGGAAACCATCCTTGGCCCACTCACTCCCCACTGAACCAATGAAAACCTGTGCTCTGGAAACCTGGGATGCAGGACTGGAGGAGGACCGTGGTCTCAACTGCTGGTCCCACTGACTCCCTCATTCATTTTGGTAAAGGTCAGAGGACTCTAGCCACACACCCCCTTTATACATTCAGTCTACCCACTTGTATGCTTAACCCTGGACTTAACTTTAAGTCTACACTGCAATTTTGTGAATCACACGTTAAGGCTGAATCTTAGAAACTCCTCTCTGCCACCACTGAAAACTAGGAAGAACCATAAAGCCAGGGCTAAATCACAGCCAACTTCCCAAATCTCATTCTACAACCAGAACTGAAAGTTAGGGTTAGGGTTAGTAAAAAGAATAAATTCCTCTTCCTCCTCTTGCTCATGCCTGCACCCAGCTTATCCCCACCAACAATGCCTGCAGACTGGGGAAAACACTTCAAATAAACCAGGAAAAGGGAGGAATTTTTTTTTAATTTTTAAGGTAAGATGTGACAGAACTGCAAACTGCTGACAGATCACTCTGCAATTCTAAATCTCTCTCTTGATACCATCTACAAAGTTCTAGGCTTTGGTGGCTAACCTGCACTGTGTGAACTCAAAAGTAGGACATCATACTAAATTTTACCTCAACACTGACCACAGGCTCAGGTTCAGTGCGGTTCAAGCCATTACTTCTACTTCCATGCTCTCTGTTGACACCGGCCAGATTTGGGTCACCCGCACTAATCTCATTAGGTTCATCAGGCTTAAAGCCTAGGTTGTGTTTATGGACTATGGTGAACTGTGGTAAACATCACAAAAGGAGCTCCTCATACCAAACCTTGTAAAATACTCCTTAAAGAAAAACTTCTCTAGAGTCACTTTGGTTATAGCAAAACTGCTTCCTGTCCAACACCATATTACATCTACAGAGTACACCTTGAAGAAAATACAAGTTTTTAAATCAATGAATGTGAATTACTGAATCACTGAATCTTCATTTCAAAGAAAATGGTGAAGTGTGTGTTTAGACTTCAATTTCCCTCAGGAAAAACGGGATGAAAATCATAGTCTGAAAACCTAAAGGAGCTGGACTCCTCAATACCACCACCAAACTGAAAAACAAACAGTAAAGGAACTTGTTACTTTATTTTACAAAGTACTGGAAGCCTATCTTAAGCAGTGCCCTCCTGAATTTTCAGGATACAAAAACCCTGTCCTAAACTTTTCAGATCTAGAAATTCTAGAGAATGTCAGCTGATCTGAAGAACCTATGCGGGGCTTTCTAACATTGTGGCTGCTTTTTCTAGCAGCTCATACTGATCCCAACAAGTACCCAGTGAACGAGGCACTTCAGCCAACATCATCATCCCCATTTTGCAGGTCAGAACAAGAGAGAACAATTAGCTGAGAAGTCACAAAGTTAGGAGGGACCTGCAAGGACTCAAATCTGATGTTCCCCCATCAGAATCAGACTTGAACTTGTAGGCACGTATGTAAGGCCAAAGTACAAGTCTGAGGGCTACATCAAGCCCAGGTCGCCTGAGGTACACAGTAAAATGCAGATTTTCAATCTTCCGACTCAGAATTTGTGGAGATGGACTTCAGAAATATGTCAGTCAAGTTCCCCAGGTGATTCTGAATCCCATTAGTTAGAGGACCACCAGCCTGAGTGAATCATAAATCCCAATCCAGCCACAGGACCCATGTCCTGTGGGTCATGGTTTACCATGTGGGAAAGGTTTACCTTTCCTCAAGCAACAGAGAACTCGCCAAGCAAACCAAACAGCTTACTCAAGTTAACTGCACCAAGTGACCGAACCTGAACTAGTCCTGTCAAGACGTTATAGGCCTCAGCCTAAAGAACAAGGTCAATAGACTTAGGCCAGAGGTACAGAGAGGATCAGCTTCACTCCTTCCAAGGTAATTTCTTAGCTGACATTACCCTATAGTATCTTCACCAACTCCAAGCATGCCTGGAGGCATCTTCTTGCAGACTGCCAACACATGGGGTGTCAAATCCCTTCTGAAGGTGCACAACATTTCAAGGAAGGTATCATACCACTAATTTCTAGGGGAAGTAATGTGGATTTAACCCTAGGCAAAATCATCAAGTTGGGTTTACAGAGCATCCATAATTATGGCAAGAACCCTAAAGATCATACAGAAACTACCTCCTACCCATTTATTTCATACTGAAAATGGCAGCAAGTCTCCTTTTGAGCTTTCTTATAACATAGAATTTTAAAAGGGAGGTGAAAATGATGACAATTTCAGGTTATTTCACAGATTCAGACTGTGTTTCACTGCCTTTGAAACATACTTTCGGGGGAGAAAAAAAAGTATCTCCGCATAGTACCCAGCAAGCACTGTCCTGCTGCAGTTCTCAGGAGGAATCCGCCTGAAAAGGCTTCAAGGCTGCGGGGCCAAGCCTTGGACTTCTCAAAGACCTCTCACAGTAACATGAGAATGTCTAACAGCAGGAGGCTGAGAAATGTGCAGAACGGAGAAAAAAGGAACAGGCTTAGAAATAAGTACATTTGAAAAAACAGTCAAAGACTGAAAAGATCACTCTGAATTTAAGAAAGAATCGGTACCTTACCATTTGAACCTAAAAGAATATACCCAACAAGACAAATTTCAGAAGACATGACACTCTTGAAATACAGAATTTTATTTAGAAACTGTTTAAAGTAGAAAAAAACCCTGTCAAGAAAGACCAGGTGGAAAATGGGTTCCCAATAAAATGGAATTTTAGGGCAACAAAAGTCTAAAAGGCCACAAAAGAGAAATAGCACCACTGTTATTTGAACAATGGCTAGTTACTTGCATTTTTTGGCATTGTTAATTACTGAATCTGGGTTTTCCTCTGAATTCCACACAGAGCATGCACTACACAACAATTTTATC